GTCACTCTCATGAAAGGCGTTATGGTCGTGAAAGAATAGGCAGAGAAGAGCTCATGGGCAGCGGAGAAAGCTCGTAATTCGGATGGAGTCCTATACATCAATGACAGGGTCAATAAAATCATCCAACAACAATGTTTACGCGCATATTGATATATCTTCGTTGGAGGGAAATTCATACCCATTAGAATAAAAAACTGGCCCCAGTGGGCACTCTCCCTGGATCAAGGACTCACAAAATCGAGCAGCCTCGGCGACGTATGGAGAATAGCTGAGGACCTCGAATCTGGTAAAAAGGGTCGAGAGCATGTTATTCTCAACGTCCACATCGACTATCTTGCCAAAGGTGTCATTTGGATCGGACCAGCGAGGAGAATCGGGAGGAGGATAGGGTTCCCGGGTTGAGGCCCCAGTGACATTCCCATAGACCGTCACATTCAGGTTTTTGGCTTCGGAAGCGCTGTCCATTGAAGCCCAGACATAAAGTGGCTTGAACTGGAGCTGGAGAGGATCGGAGTAGATGGTCGACTGGGGCAGGCAATTTTCAAAGTTGACAAACGCTGCATTGGCACGATGAGATGTGAGTAATGCGACGAAAATTGATATCAAGAATAACATCGAACTCCCATTCTGACCCAGAATTTTTTGTCGTCGTCGCCGATTCAATTTCGAAATGACCCGGGGAGCCATCCGTTCATCAGCATGGTAATCTTCATCTGCGCATTGGCGGTGTCGTTTTCGCCGCCGTCTCTGTACCTCCTGCTGTTCGCGATCCCTAGCTATCGAGTAATTCTCCCGGGAACCCAGGCAGTGCAGCGGGAGATCGCCTGATACCGAAGCAACCCAACCCATCACGGCCACCCAGAATATGCGAGGCAGCCTCCCAGAGGAGGACAGCCCGTCCTCCCACCTAGACAACGATTCGATCCACGACTCCGATAATATCCAAAAAATAAAAATCCGGCTGAATCAGTGTTGCTTTTCTTTTTTTTTCTTTTTTTTTTTTTTTTTTTCTTTTTATCACCGTTGTTCTCCGCTACAGGACGATGATAAATTCCCGCGAACCTTGAAAGTCGATAGGTTCTTCCCCAGTACAACACGATGGTGCCACTGAATGGAATATAACGTAGGAATAGGTCGTAAGATGTTGAATTGGAGGGTTAGGGAAGGGACGGCGGATCGAAGGGCGAATGGAAGAGCTCGAGATATGGGAAGGGTCACAACCTTGGGAGCGAATGGCTCGGTCAAGGACCGAGTAATAGGCAGCGAGGGGATATATTTTTTCCCCCAATTTTCTCTCTTTTTTGAACAACGATCGGAATCCCAAGGCCACGGTAGAAACTGGAGACTGGGGACGGGGGATATTTGCAGGACAGGAAGAATGACAGGCATGGAGACAAACTTGGCGGAGGAGGTCTTGGTTCGTTCAGCCTGAAGTCGCTTGGCCAGCTTGGCTTTGGTGGGCACTACATATTTAGGTATTCGTTAGTTAAGGCTCTAGCGCTGTCATAGTCCTGTAGGGCCCAAGACTGCGCCAAACTTGGAAATGAGCTGGGGCCCACGCTGTATCACTGCTGCTGGCTGGACTGACTTGGGCTTGGTGTTTCTCATGCACACGCTGCGCATATTATTATTATTAGTTATTATTATTATTATTATTACTAGTTTTATAACTAAGTTACTGGCAAGAAATACATACATAATGGCTCATACGCCCCGGCTTCTACGTGGTTCTCTTATTTTGGCCGAGCTTCCAACGTGAGTGAGTGTACGCCGGTGGGCGTTGCAAAGGCTAAATAGACTCTCTCTGTCTGTTAATTCTGGTGGGGATGTGAGAACCTTAACACACTTCTACTCAAAATAATGCAGGTTGACACTTACTCTGTTCCATGTCTCTGCTGATATCAATACGAGGATGCGCCACACTCCTCGCTGCGGCTCTCGTGGTCAACAAACTGTCAACTTACTCATGCCGCCCAAGCCAGCAACTTGTGCTCCTTTTCTTTCTGTCTGCTGCATGGTCCTCCTACCCGGAAAAGCTTGTCTCACCAATAGTTATGGATCCCAATCACATCAGCCAGTTACTTCTGCTGTCAACCAATATACGTCGACTCTGGCTGGAACACAGCCACTCGGTATCGGCCAGTCACAGTGATCCTCGATCCGCTCTTACGCTGTATTGATCCTGACCGAGGTCAACCACTCACCAGCCCCGAAATTCTATTTATTGAGCACCGCTCGCAGAGAACTTGCGAATCAGCTAAATATAGCTTGCCCTCGCCCTTGCAGGTTCTGCGTATCCCGACATATACAGGCTTCTAGGTAATTAAATCATCTTCTTATTTATCAATAATATTTCCGTACCCGCAGAAGCACCAGCGGCAGTGTGCGTACCGAATACTACTATTCGAATACTATCTTCGTATAGGCTTGGCATATATTAAATTATTCAACGAATATAATTGGCCAGATTATCAATTACTACACTAGTGACTAATCATTGACTAAACTGCTAACCAATCCCGTAGTTACATGGTGCGTGTATAAGGATCTTAGGGCATAGAGCATGGTCAGGTGACCCATACAAGCCTCACCACCTCATATCCACCCGCTCACCTCTAGCTTAGATAGCTTCTTCTTCTTCTTCTTCAAGATTCAGTTTCAATATAATCAGTATACTGCTGCTATTCACCCTGGTAAAGTTAATCTTCATTCTGTAACAGCGTGATGGCCGACATTCCTCCAGCGCTCGTCCCAGCCAAGACCGTTCGTTTCGTTTACGTTATGGCTTGCATGGCTTTATCCGCCAGGCGCGAAGTCCATGGCAAAATACTACAGCTTGGATGGGTTGGCATACGAGCTTACTTATAATCCTCTTTCAGTAGGAATCCCTGATCTTATACTACATATATCCAAATTCTTGCTTCAGCGGGAGGTGTACACACATCCCCGCAGAATTTTGGTACGGGCTGCGGTCCCGAAGCCTGTCTCCCGAGTCTGCTTCCAGTTATGAATAAGTTATCCAGGCGAGACATTTGGCAAGAGAGGATGGAAGTTTAGTGTTCTTCCGTCCTGTCCAGGAGCCTGGCAGCCGGGCGCACTGAAGGAAAATGTATGAAACATCGGTGTGGTTAGCCAGCGCTTACTGTTTAGTAGCGCGCGCTAGGAGTTTCAGTGTCCTCCATAATCCAGCCCAACCATGCCCTAATTGGCAAAGGAGGTATTCGTTTAACAACGATGACTCGTCGACGAGCCGCCTTTCGCCTCAATCCTTCAAGCAACACTTGGTGCGCCAAGGACTACCATAATGCCCTTGCTCTTCACGCTTGGTTGGCGGGTGATTGCTTGAACTTACGACGAAATGAATAAATTGGTAGTCTCTATGTCCGTGACAGTGGCCACGGGGTAAATTCGGCACAAATTGACATGATTATTGTGTTCATTAAAATCCATCACGTAAGATGTGCGTGCCCTTTATGTTTTTTTTTTTTTTTTCTCCTTCGCCAGTGGTGACGTGCTAGGCCCATTTAAAATAGTTTCACCCAACCTGTGAAATGGAAGCTTCTTATTTATCCCGAGCGCGCATTTGGGATGTCGGAGAATTTGGATTGCGCGAGCCCTCAGAGGACTTGCCTTTGCAATGCCCCTTGCTATCCTTTCGATTTTCACTGGGAGAGACGTGTTCAATAATAATGTCTTTAACCAGGATATGTAGATACGGACAGGTGTGAATGAAGTGGACATCTCTGGCCACGCCATGCCATTCACAGGGATACGACCGCTCGACACTAAAATGTGGGGCGGGATTCCTGGTTGTGGCTGGTGGATAAGTTCAACAGCTTTCTGAGAAACCGCTTGGACTGCGCAACTGGCTGGTATGGGGAGGGGGGTTTCTCTCTTTTCAAAGATGAATAGCAACTGATCCCATCAAGCTTGTCATGAGCAGAGATGATTCTGGATGCTGATCACACAGCATGATTTCTCTCTTTCACTCCTTCGAACATTGGATGATCTTTTTTCTTTCTCTTTTCAGCATGAGTGCTTGTGCGGCGCCCAAAAAAAATAAAATAAAATAAAATAAAAAATTGGCCTTGGTCTCTATATAGACGAATGGCCCCAAGCTCCCTCTGACTTTGTGTGCATGCGATGTTTGAACCAGGGGAAACTGTGCAAACTCATCTCATGAGTTTTCATGTCGGCCAACTCATCTATCCCATTCCATTGTTTTATCAGTCACAATGGCCCTTCTTAAGCCAGGTTTGAACCAGAGTCTGCAAATAGGCTGCTATGTCAATATTTGGTGTTGCTATGATAGTGGTCATTGAGGTAGATAATGATTACTATTCTTGTTCAATCTCATTTAGAACTGTGTTGACTGGATCATTTTCTTTGAACAAACTGCAGGTATTATGCAAGGCTCTTCCTGATCTGAGATATGGGAGCTATCTCATGTTTGACACTGTTGTACATTTTCATCCCCTGTTATTGTCACCATCTGCACCTGGCTGTTTGAATTGCCTGCTTGACTGCTGAATTTGTTCACTCCATCTATACAATTGAGTGTGTTTGGTATCACAGTCACTGTTCCGGGCATGTACTATCTTGGGATTGGATGCCGTGCGGCAGACCTGTCAATGCATGAAATTGTATGTGGATGAATGTGTGTTTCCTACCCTTTGCCATGACAGTATCTATCTATCTATGCACATGCTACACTAGGATTCAATGCAGTGAGAGAGGGGATTGCAAATTCTGTACTATCGACCTTTTCAGTATTTCCTTGCAAAATCCAGTATGGTCGCCCTTTACACACAGTTGGCATTGAGTGCCATGCATTTGAAGTTTCTCTACGCCTTCGGGGCTGTTGTGTTTTTCCACAGAGTTGCAGCAACCCTCATTAGTCTCTCATTCTATCTCTCCTATATAGATTGATGAGATGAATAGCAGTACTGATTTGATGGAAATGGAAGATGATAATATTTATCTGCACAACCGTCTCGCTCATGTGGAGCCCAACATTTCTGGTTGAATACATTGACATCCTGCACTTTCATTATTTCAACGCCGATATCCTGCTCGCGGTTCTCTCAATTCCCATCTTGAAAACATTGCAAATCAATCGCCGATGGAAAAGTAGGTCCCAGGTGATATAAGGCGCGCACCCCTCCTCTCTTCCCCATGCCACTGAAAACAGTATCTCAACAGTGATGGGGAAACAGCGCTAACCAACACAACATTATAGTCGGCCTAGTCTTCTACTTCAGTATCAGTATCCTCACGATCTGCATCATGATAGCAAGACAAATGACCAATGCCATTGCCCTTAACAACTCTCTCGAGTTCTTCTGGTATGTTCCTCTGCTGTGATCCTTCATCAGACACTCCCCTTTCCTCAACCTTAGAGTTATCCCATTCATACTTGGTCAACCCTGACACACAAAGAAAAAGCTGACACGCCACAGGCATTGGTGCGCCGCAGAGCTCTGCACGGCCCTCGAAGTGAAAATGTGCATAATTCTGCGCCCCAGTTCCCGCCATGCGCTCGCTTATAGAAGTGCATTTCGGTGGCAGCAGCAGCCGCGGCTGGCGCAAGGCACAGCCAGACTTCAACAAGCTGGAGTCGGGGGATAGGCACTGCACGATGCAAGACTCAGATAATCAGCAAGGCCAGAAGCAGCCGCCAGGGCAGCAATTTGTCGAATAACAGTGAGGCGATTATTAAGCCGGAGCAACGAGAGCAGCAAGACCGGCAGCATCAGCGGCAGCAGTGGAAGACGCAGGATGGAGTGTTGCGATCGACGGAGTTTAAGATTACGTATCAGAAGCGTTGAGCGGGATGCGGAGTGGGAATGATGAATTGCAATAATGGTATGACTGGTACGGTTATGGTCACAGATAAACTAGGCCTCGTGGCAGGAGAGGGATTGTATATATTGATATATTTCTTATGTTGATAGACAGAAATTAGAAAAGGGTATTCCTTTTTAGATATTGCGTTTGGCTTTCCTATACATGTACCATACATAACGTTTATTAGTAGTTAACTAGCTTCGTAACGCTTTTTCCAATGTGCTTCATCAGCTTTTTTAGGCAAGGATCTTCTCATGCATGAAAGAAAATAGTTCTTGCAGAAGTCGAGTTTGCAAAAAGAGACTAGGTTGTAAAACGACTTCTCTTTAGCAGTTGTATGTACGCACATAGCTTACCTAGAATCCTAATTGAGTGTACTCAAGACCGGAGATTCAAGTATCGTTTTAGGGCTTAATGGGAATAAACTATTGTAGTTATCCACTATAATCTTGATAGTACTAATTGACCGATCGATACGTCGTCGCGAGGTCTGCAAAGTGAATATGATCATGGTTCATTCAAGTCACGCCTAGTGTCGGCAGTTCTTGGAAGTATTTATTATTTAACAGGTGTGGTATGGACTCCGTACAGTACGTGTACATGTGAAGTTCAGCATATAATCCGTAAACGCTCAGAGTAGTAGCTTCATCAGTTACGCAGCGTAGAGGTTATGACATGACTGTATGAGCCAAACCACCCCCTTAATTCCTTAATTAAAGACTAGGGCTGACCAAGGCCCATGGGCACTGGGCAGCCTCTAGTTGGCCCCAGTTGCCCCGCCGGCCGGGCCAATCGTAGGCGACTCTCAGGGGAGTGCCCCGCCATCTGAGGCACTCCGAGACGCTCGCCAAGCTGTCTAGCCACAGCCAGACCCATCAAGAGACTGTGAATGGAAACACAGTAATAAAACACACAGAAACACACAGCTTGACACAAACCCGCATCGCTTGGCTCCAGCCAATCCATAGCGTTCGTTGGCTGCTGCTGCCACATATTATTATTTCATCTGGTCGTCTGTCCTCGATTAAATTACCCCTAGTCTGGAGTCTGGAGACTGCAGCAATTCATTATTCATTGATTGACTGGCGGCCTGCTGCCTGTCAGTCCAAGACCAACCTCCGGCCTCTTCTCTCTCTCTCCCCCCCTCTCTTCCCCTTGTTCTCTCAATCAACCACGCTTTCACACAAGCCACTTCTTAGTTAGCCCCTTGTCGATCTTCCTACTTGTTTCATCAAGCCCGCTTTGCACGTGAGGACTTGCTTATCCGACCCGACGACTACTTTGACGCCCACGTCCCGTCCTGTCCTGACCCTTGCGAACACCTAACCTCCCCCGCGCCCGTCGCTTTGCGTCGACTGCTCCTGTCATCCTCTGCTCCATCCAATGTTGGCGCTTCCATATCCAATTTTGCCTGTGGGAGTCTGTGTTGTTGTTGCTGCTGCTGCTGCTGTTGCCGCCGCCGCCGCTGTTGTTGTCGTCCCCGCTTCCCTCGTCGAGCATGGTTGTTGAATCACCAGAGGATGGCTCCCTGGCTGGAGCTGCTGAATCCAAGGCCCGCAAATGGCGCGGCAAATTGTTCTCCAAAGACAAGACTCCGAAAGTGTCTATTGATGAGCAGGTTGATGACTTCCTAGGTTCCCACCGCTCCCCTCTCCCGCCGCCGCGGCAGTCCATCTCTTCCCCAATCTCCACTCCACAACTCCCCGCCAAACAACACCAACAACCCTACCAACATCAGCATGAGCCACCACCACCACCACAAAAACAAGAACAATGGCAACAACAGCAACAACAACGGCGATCACCGCCACGTCACTATCAGCATCAGCATCAACATCAACAATCGCGGACTGGTGTCCCCGTGGCACCCCGTCTCAATCTTGCCGTTTCGCAACGATGGCCTGAATCCGGCGACTCCCCGGGCCGGTCTCCCTCGCGTCTCTCCATTGATACCAAAGATCCAACTCGTACCACCCCGATCAGCCCCCCGAAGAAACGGAGTCGTAGAAAGGGTTTAAAGGTGACATTCGCCAACAATGGCCCCGAGGTCATTGGAGAAGGGGGTGACGAGGCTGAGCTACCAACTAAGGATGTACTTCTTTATCGTTCGAGATCACACTCGACCGCTTCCATTGCGACGGATGGATCACATGCCCATTCTGAGAATGCAGGCCCATTTGGCTCCCCATCGAATTCTACGTATTGGGGTGGAGCCTCTTCAGGGCAAGGTCTTAGCCTAGAGGATACTCGAGAGAAGCTCAAAATGGTGAAAAGCGCCCACGAAGCAGACTTCTTACTATCCCTTGGGACACAGAACACGACAGGGTCTCGCATATCGTTGAGGGATTCGGGAGATCCAAACTCCTTTGCAAGTCGCATTCAGGCTAGGATGAGAGCTGAGGAGGGTTTGGCACTGCAAAAGGCGGCACGGACTGCTTCGCCTACGGATCCAGACGAATTCGATTCTCACCCTTCTCCAGAAACTGCCCTCCCGCTCCGCCCGTCCGCTGCTTCGAACCCATCACCAGATATGACCCGCGAAACATCCTCTCCCCCGAAGTTTGATTTTTGGGGAAGTGTATTATCTGCTCTGCCTAGCAAGAGCGAGCCAAACAGACACCATAATAGTGCGTCGGACAGCCCTGGAACAACACACACTTCTCCGGGGTCGTATCCGGACACTCCACCCCCACCCTATTTGAGATCCTCACCCGCAGAGCCGGATCGTGAGCCAGATAAACAACGTCTGCCTCCGAAAAGCTCCTTTGATAATCAGACTCAACAAACTAAAGATCCAGCTTCTTTGAAGACGTCGTGGAGAGCCGCTGCTAATGTCGTTAGTAATGATGCCCTGGCTGATTTTACAGCGCGCGCTGCACAATATAATGATATTTTCAGCGATGCTGCAGAGAGCGTTAAGCCGTCCATGGAGACGTCCTTGTCCGAATGGATCAGAACAAGTGTATGGTGGTTTCTCAAGGGCAAGTCTGACGTCGAAGCGTCCATGCGTCCTCAACCCTCAAATGGCGGAAGAAACTCTCCACCTGATGTTGATAGAACGTGTCAGGGTGTGCTCAATTTGGCGAAATCCTGGTGGATTACCGAGCATATTGTCCCCGATCACCCCGAGTTGTCCCGATTCGGAAATATGAGCACAGAAACTATGATTGCGGTAGCCACAACGGCAGGCGATCAAAGGTTGAGTAGTTTAATGAGTGTTCGTCAAGGAACCCTCAGCCATCTACGCGCATTGGCGATGTCGATGAAACGAAACAATATCCTCCCAGCAGCCATGGAACAACTGCATCTCTCCCGAGGAATCGATACCACGATATGGGTCCGGTACCCTTTCTTTGCGCCCGACATTTCCGCAGTTCTCTCCGGCCAAGTGACGCGATCCATGCTCATGGATACAGCGCGAAAGGCGACGGAAATTGGTGATGTTATGCCATTGGGAGACTCTAGCCGTTATTTCTGTTATGGTAGGATGTTTGTGGAGGCGTACCTAAGCTCCAGCGAAGACGATTCTGAACAATTCGCAATTCCTTGTGTATTGTCTATTATACGTGATCGAAGTGACTGGAATGTACTTGTCTCAATTACGAGCCAAAATGAACTTGTTAATTTAATGATCCAGGGAGATAAAAAGCTGGGTCCCACATGGGCAGATGTAGAGTGGCAAGTGAGAACTAACTCGATGCGAGTTCGACTGCCTCGTGGCTTCGAATTGGATATTCAGTTTGAGCAGGCCGACTTTAAAATGATCTGGAAAATTGTGGAATATACCCATAAGACTGAGGACAGCTTACAACCGGAAGCGGGCGAAACTTTACTGTTCGAGGACGTTTTGAAAGTATTTCAATACATGGACTCCAGTCCCAACAAAGCATTCCCTCCGGAACCTAGCCCGCGATGTCGAATACGCCTCTTCGAGAAATCCGTAACTATAACTGAGGGTACTGGCACGCGAAAAGCCCATAGAGGGTTCCGGTTCATCGCCGTGACAAGCCCTAAGGTTAAGACGCTCAGTAGTGTTTCCCACGAACTAGGCAACGGGACACCCATTGTCTTTGGCTATCTGCGAGGCGAGGACGGTGCTCCAGCCCTTCTCGTCAAAATACCGCAAGAAGGTGGCGGCGGTGCAAAGCGCTCCATGTTATTAACATTCCACGAACAGGAGGAACGCGCCAAATTACACTCGCTACTCCTCGGCATCGCTACCTTGCAAGACGAGGTGAAGACACCCGACATCCCCATGCGGTCTTTCTCGATGGAACAACTCCCGGATGGGCATTCGGTATCGAAACCCGTCGTACATTTGCAATTCTCTTCGCCCTCTGCTACGGTGATTAATACTAGCTCCTCCCCATTATATTCTCAGCATGGATACAGTTCTACGATTTTATCTGAACATCTGCGTGTTTTCGTGACGTCGAATTGGGGATCAGTGACGGACAGAATTAATATTGGTATGTAGCAGCATGACTTATATTGTGATTTGTATTTCGCGGGAACTATACTGACCTAGATATACTCTCATCTCTAGGTCCTGGAGAGCTTGAAATTGCTCTCGACGTTACTATTCCTACTGCATTGAGCATTCTTAGGCCACCCCAACTGGATTTGGGTATTTCCGTGGCGGAGAATTTGGTCCCTAAGGAAACCCCGGGCGATATGGCCCAACTCTTAAAGATAGCCCAGACGAAAGCTGTAATTCGACGATATAACTTCTCATCTCTACAGGGTTGGTAGAAATCATCAAACCCCAACCCCCCCCCCTTTTTTTTTGTTTATCTCTTTTCTTAGTTTGATATTAACTTTCTTCCGGTGCATAGATCTCCATAGATTCCAACAAGCCATCACGAACTTTAAAGTTGTATTCGACGGGTAAATAATTTCCCTACCCCCTAACTATCCCCCAAATTCTTTCGTTGGTCAAAGCGTTTAACCAACGCTCCCTAAAAACAGTTTCGCCTCCTTATTTGCAATCTCCAGAAGAAGAATGGTGGTCCCCATCTACAAGAAATGGGAAGCGAGCAAAGTTCGCATCCAGGTGCTCACGCAGGAGAAAATCGTGCAACTCGTCGCCTTCTTCCACGACGACTTCAGCCACGGCAAATGCATGAACTTCGTCCTGAAAAGCACAGACATCTTCGAGAGCTTCAACCACCGCTCTGGCAAGTTTGGCGTCAAGATCGTCGATGCGAAATTTGCCCTGCCGACGCCTGCTGATGATCCCGCGGCGGGCTTTGTGTCCCTCGACATACCGGAGTATCCAGGCGAGCATGATGATATTTCGATTGCTTTTGATTCGGAGAATGGTAGGCAGGCATTTCCTAGTTCGATACATATATTACTTTTTAGAATGCTAACATGTTGCTTTTGCTTTTTTTTCTCTTTTGTTTCTCTTTTTTACAGATAGGGCTGAATTCCAAAATGTCATGCCTGGCTCGGTCAAGGAACCGTCGAGGATGGGATCGCTTCGGAAATAGAATAAGCAAAACACTAGAAAGGCAGAAGTTATGCCTCACTCCATTTTATACCTCGCTCCGTTTTATATGGAAGTTCTCTTTTTGTTTTGTTTTCTATTTTCTTGGGGGCGTTTATTTTCTCTTTTCTCTGCTTTTTTTTCCCTTTTCATGACAGGGGAAATCCATGGTGTTATTTTTCTTTCTTGTTTTCCCCTTTCTCCTTTTTTGTCGTCTCATTGTTCCATGCTGCTCTTTTCCTTCGGCAGCATTTCCTCTCTTCTTTTCCGTCTCTCTTAATAGCCTAGCTTTACCCTTGCGATTTGTACGAAGTCAGGCCGTGCCTTTTCAATTTTATTTTTGTCATTTGTTGATTTTATTTGTTTGTTCCTCTTATATATATATTCTTTTTACAGCGAGCGAAGAAGAGAGCAAACTTTTTTTTTTTCTTCTTTTTGTACGCTGCTCTATATTTCTTCTGTATCTGCTCTCTAAACCCCATTCAGTCTAATATTCATGAATTGCATAACTTGAAACCCTGTGAAGGGGTGTTTTTTTCCGCCTGTTTTTTATTATTATTCTATTTTTTTGCCTTTTTGGAAGAGAAGATACTATTGAATGATGAGAGAAGGGTGAGATTTTTGTTCTCATTTTATAAATAAATGATGGAGGTGATTGTAGAGTAGTTGGTTGTATTATGAGAAGCTAGCTGCTACATGGCCTTATATAGGAGCTTGCGATCGCCGATCACGTGGATCGGTGGCCGTAGCAAGTGTGTGTCTGGCGAGGATTGCTCTGAGCACATGACTTGTATCAAAAGTAGGTGTGTATACAGAAAACTTGACCTCGCTAAGTGCGCCACTTGACCTCATTACATAATCATGACCCTGACCTCGCACAATACAGTAATAATCAGTTGGTAATTGACTTTCAACCTTTCAATTCACTCATAGTCTCTGAGACTAAGTCTTATTCATTCAGCTTATCAATCAATCAAAGCATGTATAGCTGATTCATAATCAATTAAATGAATAGATAAATTCATATAGAATATAAAGAGATATTTTACAGAATTTTAAAATATATCAAGATAAAAATATTTAATAATTGATTTTAAATTGATTTTAAATTGATTCTGAATTGATTATAGTAATAAAAATAGATTTAATCTATATATTTAAGTAATTAATAATTGATTGAAAATCAGTTGATATGTAAGAAATTCTGCTTCTCATAGATTCTTTACTTCTATTCCTATCTCTCATGTAATCAATAGGGCTAGCGGCTCTTGACTACACACAACTATATAGACTGAAGTTTGTGAATACTATTTATAACTCAGCTTAAATACTATTATATATTTAATTTCTACATTTTATCTTTCTACTGTGAATACTTCTAGTAGTTAACAGTATATATTATATCAAGCTGTAAATATCTGAATAATTATCTGTGAGCACTTATTCTTATATTTTAAGCTCAGTCAGTCAGTAATCACTTATTATAACTGAAAGAACTAAAAACTCATATACTTCAATCTTTGTAAACTCTATTACAGACACTTAAAAGTAGTTATCTGAATTATGAATAACTCTTATAAAAGAAGTTTTAGAGAACTTATTAACTACTCATAGAATATCATTCTCTATATCTCAGATAAAGAAATTCTCTGAATTTATAAATAAATTAATCTTAGTAAAGAATATTCTTAAGTATTTTTTACAGAACTAAGCTATTTTTCTATAAGAAATACTTACTATCTATAAACACTCTTAAATTAAGTCTCTAGACATAATCTTCAGAGATATCTATAAACTGAAAAGAAACTTTCTTAAGTTATAATTACTTAAGATTACTTATTAAATCACAATCTATAAAAGCTTTTACAAGTTTGTATTTAAAATTAACTTATAAGCTCAGCTATATAATATAAAAGATGAAGAAGCTATTATCTATATAATAACAGATCTCTATTATACTGAAGTTAAGAACTAACTGAATTATTTAGAGAATAATTATAAGAGATCTCAATAATCTATTCTTAAGATCTATCTAGAGAATAAGTTAAAAGACTCTGTAAGCTGAACAGAGAATATCTGAATTATAATCATTAATATTAGAAAAAGAGATGAGAAATCTGATAAAAACTACTTATAATACTTTATAAAATTATAATATGAATTAAGATCTGTGAAAACAGAGCTCTGAAATAAGATCTGAATAATAATATTTACAAAGAGACTGAATAAAGATATACAGAATAAGCTCATTGAGTAAGACTCTAAGTTCTTAACTCTGAAGAAACTGATAACTCTTATTTATTACTTATAGATCACTGTAAGAGTTACAGATCTATAGAGAGTGAATCACTGATTAACTCTATAAGAATCAGAATAACAGAGAATAGATTTACTGAGAAAAGATGATAAGATATAGAGAGATTTATATCTGACTGCTGAGTAGAAAGAGAGAGCTTTATAAGCTTCTATAAATAGAATATATAATAGAGAGATTAAGAAAAAGAGACTCTACTTTATCTATTTTAAACTAGAACATCTTCATATAAACTATTCAGATAAATTAAAATAGAAATTTAAGAAGTTATGAACAGAGTTAGTAATAGCCTTCTTAAGAGTCTTAAAGCTGATATCTGAATCTGTTACTTTCTCAATGAAAATACTTACTTACAGAGAGAGATTACACTGTAATACTACTACTCTGTAAGTATAAGAAGTATTAATGAACTTAGAATCTCAGATCACTGTGATATTTCTAAAGCTCACAGAGTGAATAAGCTGAAAGATGAAGACTGAGAATCTGCTCTTATAATAAGCAGAGTATGAGAATTCAGATCTGAGAACTGAGAGACTTATAAGAATTATCTTTGAATTACAAGATCTCTCTAAAATCTGAAGAAGATTTATAAAAACTGTGATTATTACAGACATCACAGATAACATGTATTTAAGACTTATATAACTTCAAAGACATAATTCACACATAGCTGTTCATAAGTCAGGTTTATACTTCTGATCAGTGTTGACAGACTTACTTATAAAGATAGAAGCAGTTGATACTACAGAGTTAATTAGAGAAGATAAGCTTATCTATATAATAACTTTACAAGTGTCTGAGAATCTTGTAATCATGAAAACTGAGCTTCAGATATCAGAGAAATATCAAGATCTTATAGAGATGTTTAGCTCAGTTAAGACAGCTGAGCTTTCTTCTCACTGTAAGAAGAATCTGATAATAGATTTGATAGAAGAGTAGAAATTCTTCTGAGAATTAATCTATAAGCTCTCTCATTATGAGATAGAGATCTTGTGAATCTATATAAAGAAGAATCTGAAGAATGACTTTATTCAATTTTTACAGATCTTTATGAGAGTCTCTGTGATATTTATAAAGAAGAAGAATGAAGATCTTAAATTATATATAGATTATTATAATCTGAACTTTAAGATAATAAAGAGCTGCTATTCTCTGTCTCTGATTAAGAATGTAATCAACTGTCTCACAGAAGCTGTCATATTCATATAACTGAATATAATTAATATATATACACAGCTGTGAATACAGTCTGAGAATGAATAAAAGACTGTCTTTAGAATCACACTGAGATTGTTTAAATATCTAGTAATATCTTTTAGTCTGACTAATACTCTCATAACATTTCAGTCTTTTATTAATAAAACACTTTGTGTATATCTGAATATCTTCATGATAATATATCTGAATAATGTAATAATGTACTTTATAAAGAAGAAAGAATACACTGAGTATATATGAAGTGTGTTGAAGATCTTAGATAAGACAGAACTGTATATTAAGCTTACAAAGTATAACTTCAGTGCTCATCAGATTAATTTCCTAGAATATGTAATTATTATAAAGAATATTCAGATGAAATCTTCACAGATTGAGATTATTCTATTATAATCAGAGTTAACTAGTATTCATGAGATTCAGATCTTTCTGAGCTTTATGAATTTCTATAGATGATTTATCTTTATATTCATAAGAATCTTCTTAACTCTTATAAACATGCTGAAGAGTGAAAATAAGAAGAAGTTATTCTATGAATAGAGAATGAAAAGATTATTAAGAAGAGAGAACTGTAAGAACTTTCTTATCTCAGAAGCTTATAAGATCTTTATAAGATTGAAACAGATATTCACAGATATAGTGATACTGTTTCACTTTAATCTCTTACTCTTAATCAGATTAAAGACAGATATCTTCTTCTTTACAATTTCAGAAATAGTCTCATAACTACAGTTAAATGAGAACTGAGTTTCAGTAGTCTTTTTCTTATAAAAGATATAATCTGCAGAGATCAACTATAACATTCATAATTAGAAGCTTCTTATAATAGTGAAATTCTTCTGTTACTGATATCACTACTTCAAGAATCTTGTGACAGTAATTACTGTTAAAACTGATTATAACAGCTTATAATAGTTTACTTTAATCAAGAAACTCTCACAGTAGCAGATTCACTGAGCTCAAAGACTGAGTGAGTTCTGATTCAAGATAGAATATATTAAGAGAATTAAGAACTCAGTGAATAAACTCTCTTATAGATTAGACTATGTTAAGAAGATCAGAGTAACAGACATAGAGAGACTAGAGAAGACAGAAAAGCTTCACAGAATACTTAAACTGAGTATTATAAAGAGATTGACTGAAGAGTCTTTCAATTCTCTGTGAGAGAAGAAAGAAAAGAAAGAGAAGAAGTCTATATAACTACTCTCTATAATACTGAGAGTTAACACTCTGAGAATCTCTGTGAGAATTCTTAAAAAGAGTATCTATAATCTGAAGAGTTTGCAGACTTTGAGAAGTATTATAGAAGATCTGATATAAGAAGAAACAGAGTATAAGTCTTTATAAGATCTTCTATTCAGATTGTCTGAACTGTAACTGAAGAATGAATATACTCAGTATATTCAGAAACTGCTCATGACAGAGATCAATTCTGCAGAAATAAAGAATTAAAGAGACTTAAATAATCTCTTATGAAGAGAGAACTGAATTTATGTGTCTATGAATAAGTTTCTATATATAGAACTTATTAAAAGGCATCATGACTCTTCTCTAGCAGATCATTTTATAGATACTAGAACTTATGAGTTGCTTACAAAAAAATACTTCTAACTGAAGATATAAGAACTTATAAAGAAGATAGTGAATTCTTATACTGTTTATCAGAGTTCATAGATAGTATAATTCAGATTATATAAAGAACTTACTTCTCTACTTATCTCACAGAAATCTTGAGAACAGCTAGAAATGAATACTCTTATAAGCCTCTCTGAAAGCAAGAATATATATAATGCCTGCTTTGACAGTGTACTGATAATAGTGAATTACTTTATCAAGATAGCACACTTTATACTCATCTGTAAGAACTTGAAGTTAAAGAATTTAACTTATATCTTTATCTGTAATGTGATCTGATTGCATGAATTATCTATGAACATTGTCTCAGATAGAGAATCAATCTTTGTAAAAGAGTTCTGATCTGATCTAATAACTATACTGAAAATCTCATGAGATCTAAGCATGACTTTTCATCAACAGACAGATGATCAGATAGAATACTTGATAAGTATATTAAAACAGTATCTGCAGTGCTTTATCAATTACAATCAGAATAACTGAGTGTATTAATTATTACTTATAAAGTTCATATATAACAACTTAAAATATGTTAGCACAGATAAAATCTTCTTTAAGATACTCACTGAGACTTATTCACAGATAATCTTAATAAATCTGTGAGAGTACACTATAAAGTATGATAATGTCTGTAAACAGACTGAGAGAATTCAGAAGATTCAGAAGAAAGCTTATGAATTTTTGAAAAAGACTCAAGAGTATCAGAAGAGATACTATAACTTTAAGCATATTATAAAAAGTTTTAAGAAAGATGATAGAGTCTGACTGAGTCTAGAGAATATTATTATATAGAGATCTAGTAAGAAGCTGAATCTCTTACAGACAGAGTCTTGTAAGATTATAAAGAAAGTTAACTCACAGTTCTATAGATTAAAACTGTTATCTGAGTTATAGATATATAATATTTTTCATATCTCTTTACTCTGTGAATATAAGAAATTCTTAGAAGAGAACTCTGTGACTTATCACTCTATTTATAAAATACTAGAGAGTGAAAGAGAATATCAGATCAAAGAAATTATTAACTCAGAGAAGTGAGATTATAAGCTCTGATTCAAGATTCAGTGATAAGAATATTCTGATAAGATAAATAAGTTCACTTGAGAATTATCTAAGCAGATAAGACATCTGCAGAAGCTGAGATATAACTTTTATACTGTGAATTCTGATAAGTCAGAATGACACAGTCTTCACTAAGAATCTGATTATAATAAAAATATTAATACTGTTATTTATAAACTCTAGTCTATAAGATAATGAGTTTCTACTGAGATGAATAGTCTGTAGTATATATAAGAGAAGAAGAAATCATATTCTTATTAAAATTAAAAAACAAGAAAATAAACAGAGCTGTGAATACAATTTAGAGATTAATAAAGAAAAAATAAAGAAAATTCACACTCATATTATTAATACTTATAACACTTAAATCTCTCACAACTATCAATTTCTCTCTTTAAAGAAGCAGAGAGTATTATATCTGTAATATAGACAATTATTGCATTTGATATGAAGATCACTAGAAATGCACAGACTTCAGAGAAGCTAAATATCAGAATATGCACAGTTATAGCAGAGTTTTAAGAGCTGACTATCTGTACATGTGATCAGATATCTCTTATAAAGCTGAATCTACTCTCTCAGTTGTACTGAAGTATTCAGCCTGAAAATAATTGAGATATGAAGAGAGAGCTCATCTGCTCAGATTAACTTCTGTCATAAATTCATAATATTCATATTATCTTAATTATCTGAATTTTACAGGTACTCAGAGACTCATCTCTTATTAATAATGAGATTGCAGAAATGCACTGCAGTGTAAGAATCATTGATAGAAAATCTAGACATATTTACATATATCTGATCAGAGATTGTGCAGGCAGAGAGAGAATGATCATAGACTTACAGAGCTGCAGAAGACACTGATAACACTGAGAGCTTTGTAAAAACTGTCAGCTAGAATCTGTAAGAAATTACTTATGAAAAGACTTATAGCAAAGAGAGAAACTATACTGCTTAAAGCTAGAAGCTGATCTGAGAGAGAAATGAGATGAGCTGCTGACCTGAAGATTAAGTACAGTGATAAGACTGAGAAGAATGAAGACATAGTTATAAGCAGTGATATCTCTGCTTCATCAGCTGATAAAAAGTAATTAGAGAAGTTACAGAGATATCTACAAGAAGCTCAGCAGCAGTCAGATATTATTTATAAAGATATTGAAATTGAAAATTTTTATTCTTAAGAAGTTCTTGAATTAATATATAGATATTATCAGAAACACTCTCTCTCTATTATCTAGATAAAAACACTTCACAGATGAATAAAGATACTCACAGTTTATAAGAATGAGAGCTGTTATAAAAAAAGAGAAAAGAAGATAAGATTCTACAGACAGATCTGAGATATTTATACTACTCTAGAGAGATTTATTTACACTGTGAATGATTCTACAGAACAGCTAGATCACTCTAGTAAATAAAAGTAATTATGAATTACAGGTCTGAATCTTTCTATATAACTATAAAGAGTGATTACAGATTATGAATATCTTGATTCTACAATTCTACAGAGTTAATAAAAGAATGAAAAATTTCTTACAATTCTACAGTATTAAAGAACAATGATTTATAAAAATAAATGAAAGATTAACTTATAAATATTTCTCTTTAATAAGAGTAATCTTATAAAGAGTGATTCATCTGTAAGATGAATCTATATAATGATTATATAAGAATCTTATAAAAATAATTAAGAGTTAACTGAAATTCTTCTATATAAAAGATATGAGATGAATCTGTATAATAGTCAGAGAAGAATCTATAGATTATAAAGAATCTCATAGAATAAGAAACTGAGTGATAGACTCTTTTCTCTTTATAGTGATAAGAGATTTTTCCTTACTAAGATTTTTTATAGATATAAAGAGTTTTTAGTAAGTATCACTGCAGTGCTGAGCTGACTATGAAGTCACTCAGTGAAAGACTTTATAAACAAAGTCTTAGAGAGAAGAAGATATATAAGAAATTCTGCTTCTTATAAATTCTTTATCTCTATTTCTATCTCTCATGTAATTAATAGAGCTAGCAGCTCTTGACTATACATAACTATATAGACTGAAGTTCATGAATACTATTTATAACTCAGCTTGAATACTATTATATATTTGATCTCTACATTTTATCTTTCTACTATGAATACTTCTAGTAGTTAACAGTACATATCACATCAAGCTGCAAACACCTGAATAATCACCTGCGAGTACTTATTCTTACATGATAATCAATTCAGTATTATTATTAAATTCAAGAATAATTTCAGTATTAAATTGATTTTGAATTGATTTTAAATTGATTCTGAATTAATTGTTAATTAATTATAGTAATAAAATAAATTCAATCTGTATATTTAAGTAATTAACAATTGATTTTGAATTGATTGTAGAATTGATGATAAATAATTAAGTGGTTTCAAATTACAAGAAAAGATGTATTGAGCGAGGTCAGGTAGTGGCACGGGCCACATTTGCGAGGTCAGCTTACATAACGAGGTCAAGTGGCGCACTTAGCGAGGTCAAGTTTTCTGCTTCCTGAAAGTAGGTTAGTGTCATGCCGGATTAACTAGTTAATAATAATGCTGCAACCCGTTCAAACCGAGCCAGAGGTCTGAGCCCGCTGAGATAACTTCCACCTCCATCAAATGGATATTGTGGTTGGTCACGTGATCTAGGGAGATCGCCACAGCCAATAGCCGTCTTCGTCCTGTAACAAAAAAGTACAGTAAAAACAAAAGATGTAAAATGATATAGTATATATATAGTACAACTCTCCCAGGTTCTATCTATACAGAGTAAAATCGTACAGTCTATCTATGTATACAAAAAAAATCATCCATACATGGATGGCCAAAATCCCAAACTCCCATGGTTGGTTTTTAACACTTAAATACCGAACGGCCAAAAATCGAGCAACCATACCTTATTACACTCAAATTCTTAGCACCCGAAGTAATGTACATTACATTACATGCATGATTATAAATATTCCGACGTGGGTTCTTTCTAAGAAATGACGGGGACAGTCCAGCCCGGGCAATCCATTCAAACGTGTCCTGTATCTGTCCACATCCAAGCACTAATCGTAACGACCTGATGCCACCGTTTTCACCAGCCCCCCTTCAAAAACTCAGTTAATTGCTATTCCCCTCGACGCAAGCGCGCCGTTCTCCGGCCGTTTGACATGACGAGAAAACTTGACTGTAACTCGAAGAGTGTACATATCAATTGATACAAGTTCCACATCCACTAGATCGCCTATTTGCATGGGTGTAGCAGTCTTGTCAAGAGTGACAATACACTGCAGATCGAAAGGTTGCAGTCTGCCGAAGTATTCGTCCCAATCGGCTCCGAATTCGTACACTGCGTCAAAGTTCTCGCCCTGGATGATACACTGAAACGTCGGGGGTAGCTTTGCCGCGTTGAAATAGAAGGACCGGAAAAGGGCCTGGCAGATCCAGAAGTCACGTGAACGGTTTTGCGCTCGATCCTTTAGGCGATTTTGCCAATCAGCGCGTGAGATGTATTTTTCAATATCATGAGTTTTGAATGGGAGGTTGTCCGGGACAACTTGAGGTGGGGAGGAGGGCGATGGCTCATTTGCCTGGTGGCGAAGGATCGCTTCTATTTGCCAATGGGCAATGAGGTCGGTATATCGTCTAAGTGGGCTGGTGCATCTCACATATTGGTCGACCCCAAGTGAGACGTGTGGCGTTGGAGTTGGCGAAGCAAAGGATCTTGGAAGTCCGAGATGGAACGAGTTGGGCACTTCAGCAGATAAGCTCTCTCTCGTGACCGGTGTGTATTCGGGGTGATACCACGTTCCAGTAAACACTACTGGGGCCTGCCGGTCTTTGAGCCATTGCCCAGCAACCTCTCCAGCCAGTACCATGACATGGTTGACAAGATCGTCCTTAGTTGATTCCAACATCTCAAATGGATCAGTCGATAAATTGCTGAAGTGAACCACTGGGTCTCCGGTGAAATGATATCCCGTTGTTCTGTCGACGGAATACATCGATTCTTGATTTTTTTCACCCGATATTCTCGGTTGGGATTTTTGTCGAGATAAAAATTCCAATGCACCCTTATCCACTCGTTTCGCACGGCGAGCAGCCATCAGTTTTTCCAAAGTATAGAAAGCCGATTTATGCTCGTCATGTATATCATTTTGGGCTTTTTCAGGGTACTGCTCTTTCAACTCGCCGTCAAAAGATAGAGTCAGAGAAGGAGCTGTCTCTCGATCAATACCAAATAGTTTTCGAACTTTATTTGGCGTCACGTAGATTATATTCTTGACATATCCGTTAGAAATGTTCGTTTCAAGTATATCCCCCGTCATGTTAATCTTCGCACTGAAAGTAAGAGCCGGGCGACCAGGGGCTAGACTGAAATATTTCTGGACGAGAGCTGGAGGCAGCATGGAGTAGACTCGCTCAGGGGAGTAGAAAGATCTCTTGAATTCGGCGGCTCGTTTAGCAACAATGTGATCTGGCGGAATAAATGCAGATGGATTGGCAACATGAACATGAACCCAGTACGTGTCCTCAGAGCCGGGAACGGGTTCGATCGAAAATCCATCATCGATTTCGGCTGCATGAACATCATCGACACAGAATACAGGAAGATCGCCCCAGTCCTTCCTTAGATCTTTCATCGTATCTAAAAGACCTTCTGGTCCAATATTTTCGCAGAACCGGTTGGATTCCTCCTCTATCTCGTCTGCGGTTCGGGAAATTCCATGACCAGGGAGCGCGAGCTGTTCGTAAAGGACGTGGAGATTTTCCCACGGAGTAAAGACACCCATTTCCTGCAAGAACAAATATCCTGTGGGCGGCGTTAAACGCAGGTCGCTATAAAGGCCAATCGCTCGGAGAATGGTAGAGCCCGATGATCTCAGAGTCCCGGCCGTCATTAGGCACGGAGGAAGCGTCCACATGCGGAAGTAATCAAGTATAATTTTGTCTGTTTCAGAAAATGTTTCAATTTCGTCTTTACAACAAGAACTGCTCTCTCCATCATCAGTGGCCAACTTATTTTTCGCACTTGGGCTAACTAAAAACATCGTGGTTGGTGACCTAGACCGCCGGCTTTGTTGAATGATCCGCCGGGCCTTCCGGATGAACATCTCGATAGGATGTTTATCATTGTCAGGTATGGTCTCTCCTAAGGTTATCCTTTTTGCCCGACTCTGGTATTCCCGAGCCCAGCGAATGACTGCGGCAACCTTCTGGGCATCCTCTTTTGGTCGAATGGTGTACGATTCGGTAAACGGTCCGATCTTGTTGGCAGCTATGTAAAAGGATAGGCGGCCAATAGCTCTCTGAATAGCCCACCTCTCTGGGTTTGTCAATTTTGAAGGGTCAAGCCCGAGAGCCGTTTCTGCAATTTCATCTAGAGTCATTACGGGAGCGTCTCCATCAGCAACAAGCTTATGATATAATTCGTTCAAAGCGACGGCGTGCTTGCGGTGGAATTCTTCTGCTGCGGCAGTGAAGTCCATCATCAAATCAATGAGGTGGGCCCCGATCGGGCGTGGAACACCACCTTCCTCCCCTAACTGGGCTAGAGGAGCTTTTTCGACTCTTCGAGATGGAAAGTAGGGCAAAAGTTTTTTCAACATATCCAATGTCGCTACTTTGCTAGCAATAAATTCCATTTTGGTAAGGCTTGTGGAGCGCCATTTCCCTCTCATTGTATAAAACTGGTGCTGCATTTCCAATGACCGCATGTATATGGCCAACTGACCGTCTGCAAAACTCGATTCCCTAGTTCGTGTGAGCACCATTCCTATGGAGAGCATGGTGAGAGACTTACGATTTCAGTACAACCATGTCTCCGGGTTGGAGAAACCGTGAGCCTGCATCCTCGTCAATAGAGTGGCGGTATTCATCCGTGTCGAATAAATCGATATTATCTTCCTGGTTCGCCAGTCCGTCCTTCAACATGTCCCCTTTAAGCGCGGTTCCAGTGTTGGAGTCCCCAGGTAACTGGATCGGGTCCATTTCATTAATCAAGGGCTGATTCATCTGTTGCCATTTGCGGAGGTAATCGTATATATCGCCATTTCCTTGTAATTCGGCTTGCGATAGCTCGGTTTTGAGCAATGATTCTCGGTCGGTGCTTGAAGCGGGGGAAGAAAGCTGACAAGGAAAAGAAATTAGCAAAACTTTGCTTTCAGTAGAGATGAGTGACACGCCGCATACATATTTGGTGTAGTGAAAACCCCGATGATACGACCGGGGAGCATACGGTGGGTTATATGATCGTTCAGCGCCGGTATTTGAGGAGGAGCTTATCCATGTTGCGCTTGACCCAAGCGCTGGGTTGTGTAATGACCGAAGGTGAGCACAAGTCTGCAATCTTTGTCCATATCTAGTGGCAGATAGAGAAGTTCTCAACCGCACTGGAGATGGCAGCATCCTCAAAAAAGGCACCGAAAAGAGTGCCGTGCTGAACAACAAACCGGCAACATCTAGCGTAGTTATCTCGAAGACCGAAATCGACTTTTTTTTGGAGCCGCATAAACTTTACGGGCAAGGCTTGGCACGCGGCAACGCTAGCCGTAAATGTCAGGTCTAGCTTGGCATTGATCCTCATCCAACAACTCGCGTCCATTTGGATCCTCCATCTACTGACTTGCCAAAGCCTCTTACTCCCCTGTGTTAAGGGCTGGATGTTCACTGTTCGATCCCTCATCCCTCCATCCTCTACATGTGCTGCTGCAGCTGTCAGGATAGAAAGGAAAGGAAAACAATTGCATTTAGTTAAGTGATGGTACATCCTTCATTACGAATTTACGAGGGAGCATGGGATCTTACAATGTCCACTTGAAGATCCTTGATTGATCTATTCAGGGTTGGAGATGGCTACAATACTCAAGTGTCATACTACTAGGATTCTTGAAGCTAGGCCTAATCCCTTCTATCCTTTACTTGAATAGGACCTTGGTGATCAGATCAAGATACGCGACCCTCTTTATTTTGATGATGAACAAGGATAACCTTAACCCTTTTCTTCGTGTGGACAAGTACTATACCCATGAGACCTCTGTGCAAGATGTTATCTCTAAGCCACAGGGCAAACTAATACCATCTATAGATAATATTCATTGAATTCCTATTAAAGGGTCTGATGAAATGTGGGACTGTTTGACTAACTCTGGTTGAATATGTACCAGGGCTATCAATGCGACAGGCCAATTCAGAAAATATGAAATCAGTGATCAACTTTGAAAGCCAAGTGTGCAAGCAGGAGATTGTGCCCGCAGGTCTAGGCCCTGGAAATATCATGAGGATAGAGAAGCTGGAGTTGATCTCAAATGATCTGCCCAGACAAGATGATTCAAATGCTATTGAGCTGAACTTAATCCACAGTCAATACATTTCACCACTTCTACTACGTAGGGTGGAATAAAATCTAGGACGATGGAATTCAATGACCGGATTGATTGGGATTGGTAGCCTTGGGTTGAAGCTGAATTTGCTCATCCTACTGCAACAATCACTCCAGAAGTGTGGAGAGACCTAAGGTCGACAATTTGTCACTACCTTCTGCTCACTCTATGTTTCTTTCGTTCTGCTTTCTGGCCGTATCCAACGCTTCTCAGCACGTCTCGTGAGGTACGCAGAATATTTTTTATTTCATCTATATTTAGGGATGTGTCGTATTCTTTTCATCACTTAATTGGTCGCCGGATGGAGAACTGGCCAGTTGAATTGCAGAACCCAGGGCAGTATTGCCCTCAGTTTACTATACAGACCCGGCGATCTACACGCCTATACTATAGTTTAAACAGCGGACTTTTGCGCTTAGGTTCATACACCTATGGCGCCCATTTTAACCCGAAATTGGATTGCTGAGTTCACCTTGTAGGCTGAAATGCGTTGCTCTGCATGTTTGGGAAAATACAAAAGTACACCTGGGTCTAATTGTATTATGAACGGGAGCTCTCCATGCAATGGTCATTCAAACTAGCAATACATTTTACATACCTAATGGAGCCCCATAATAGGATATAAGACTGAAATTGATAACCTAAAATCCCATGGATATGCTGGATTTTTAAATGCTGTTCACTTGCGATCGAACGTTCCTCTCCAGATGAAATGCTGCTCATCATGTGCAATGGATATGAAAGCGCAACTGACGAGCAAGGTTCATAGGAACCTTCATCACAAACGTAATCAGATTCAAGAGCTGTCTAAACTGTATACACCGCATTCTGTAAACTTAATTCTGATCATGAAATGTTCAAGTCCATTGTTCGTGGGTTCGCATCACTGCACTCGTGGATTCAACGAATTGAAAGGTCCCATCCTAGGCTGTTTCGCAAATCCCAACAAACAACAAACAATAAGGACTTGAAAGAAAGAAAAGCTGAAACCTGAGGACCTCATCAAAAAGAAATGTTCCGGGTGGCTTCGGTTTCAGCCAAACTCGGCCGCGCCTTTTCAACGACTTCTAGCCATTTTCCGACGAAAGAAAGCATGGTGGTTGCTTTTGGATAGACCGGGGATTAACAATATCTCACCACCAAACCAAGAGAGCAGCGCGTATTGGAAACGTCGAAGAAAATATTTAGCAAGTTCCCGTGCTTCAGAACTTGCTACTCAGATGTGGTTGTTTGGCTGTTAATTTGTGGTCAGCGCAAGGATCCATTGGGAAAGGCTTTGCGTTACGCGCTGTGGTGCCTCTCTTGCTCTAAGCTTTGGGACTGCCTTCGAAGTTCCCAGCGCCTTGCGCGGCCCTATCTATTTTTAAGGGCTCGCCCGTCTCCAGCGACCAAAGTACAGGGATCGGCCCTTGGCCCTCAGGTCTTCAGGAGACTGATTGGCTGTGACGGCGCATCCTCAGAAGGGACCTCAAACATGTTTCCATACACTTTGATTGCTCAGAAGCTTTGGATCTCTTCGATATTGAGTTTCTTGACGATTGTTGAGTTGTTAGCGATGCGGTATGGAGCTCTAAGAACGGAAAAAAGAACTGTTCTAGACAATATGATCGGCGTCATGTTGTTCGCCAGGTGAACTCGACTCAGCGGGAGATTTGTATATAAAAGCAGATACGATTGCCATGTTCAAACTCGTTTTCTCTCGTTCATATCAATCAATCAGCAAACTGAAAAAAGTTGTCTGTTCCCTTTCTTTCTATTTCACGAGTTTCCTATTGCCTTCTGTTGCCTTTCGGGTTTCATTTCAAACTCCTTTTTTGCCTTCGTTCCTCAGCCTTTTTATTTTCTTTCTAAGAAGAAAAAAGAAGAAGTAATATTCTATTCCATTCCGATTTCCCTCTTTGTTTCTCAAATCCTTTCGCTATAGGCTCTGGAAAATCGTAGTTTCATCATCCGTTGCTACTATTCATATTCATATTTCATCGTTTCCCGGCGTCATCTCCCTCCTTACGACAACACGCCGTACCTTATATCCGGATACTTGTAGCTCTACACAACCGCGTTGGAGACGAATAGCTTCGACAGCTCTCGCGATCTTTATCTTTTCTAGATATTTTTTCTTGCAATATTCTGTTTAAACGTCGGCGCCCTTAACATAAGCAAGATGGGCTCTTCTCACGATGGCGCTCTTGGAATCACGTTCAAGGTTGTCCGCGTCCTTCAGGTGGTCTGCTTAGTCTCCATCATCGGTATGACAGCCAACTTCATTTCAGACATGGTTAAGGCCAGCATTACTCCACCTCAAGTGCTTGTCGGCACACTCAGCGTGGTAGGTGTTCGAAAACCCCACGGAGCCGCTTTGTCCAGAAAGAGAAGCATCCCCTTCATGCCAGCTACTGACATATGCGAAATTCCAGACATGCATTGCCACGCTGTACTGCGCAATTACCTTCATCCTCTATCTGGACGGGATCCTCCCTCTGCTCATCTCTGCCGGGATGGATACCCTTCATCTGATTGCGGTGATCGTGATCGCAGTGGTTGTAGGGAAGCCACTCTCCTATCTCAACTGCGAGTTGATAGGCAAGGTTACCGAGTCCTCCGGTTTCGCTTTCACCACGGCCCTGCTGAAAAATCTCGATAAGGATGGCGGTAAGCTAGGTTATGCCCAGTGGGCCGGGGCTTCGAAGGCATATTGCCTTGAGATGAAGTCCATCTGGGGGCTTAGCATAGCTCTTTGGTGAGTTTGCAGTTCCCTCAACCACCCCCACGGATGTGCAGCGGGGTGGACAATCTGGCATTCAAACTTTTGTTATATTTGCAGCCCAAATTGACTTCCCTCGCCAGCATCTTGTTTGCGTTGTCAGCGACATGCATGGTCTTCCTGTGGCGCCAGTCGCAGGAGCATGATCCCAAAGACATCGAGAAATGAAGCCTCTGGGGTTAATATGCGATTGCGTTAGACAAACGCGGCGTACATGATCAGGAGACCGATAAGGTGACTTTCAAAACTCGATGCATCTGTCTGCGGAGGAAGAGCAATTATTTTCATTTCTCTTTTGTGACGGCGGTAATTTTGAAGCGGGTTTTTCTTCTCCTTTTGGGATTTCCTTTGTTGGTAGGTGGAAATTTGCGTTTCTTGATGCTTGCATTGCTGGTCTCGTTTCTTCATGAGAAAGAGCAGTTGTTGAAGTACCTAAGTACAACGATGGATATAATGATGCAAGTTAGACAAATGAGGAGGGCTGTCTGTTGTTTTCTGTAAGTTAGTAACTGTGCCATGCTTACTCACTCTCTCTAGTGAGTGTGCCACAGTGTATGGAAAACCACACTGTACAGAAAATATTTTCAATATCTTCATTCTTCATCTTCAAATAATCATCATTAATTATAATCATGTCTAAATCTTCTAATTATACTGAGAAGCAGTTACAAAGAGCTGTTGACATGTATAAAAGCAATTCAAAATTAAAAATCATGTCTCTGTCACAAGAATTCAAAGTCTCATATATCATCTTGTATGAGAGAATCAACAGGAAGAAATTAAGGACTATGAGGATTCCACTGAATTGAGCATTGAATGACAGTCAGGAAGAGGCAATTAAGATATGAATTCATCAGTTGAATATTATTAATAAGACTGCCTGCTACAGATATGAGCAGTATGATGACTGTAAGAAATCCCGCTCCTCGCGGATTCTTTACCCCTATTTCTATCTCTTGCATAATCAATAGGGCTAGTGGCCCTTGACTACACACAACTATATAGACTGGAGTTTATGAATACTATTCATAACTCAGCTTGAATACTATTATATATTTAATCTCTACATTTTATCTTTCTACTGTAAACACTTCTAGTAGTTAATAGTATATATCATATTAAGCTATAAATATCTGAATAATCATCTATAAGTACTTATTCTTATATTTCAAGCTTAGTCAGTCAGTAACTGTCTATTATAACTGAAAGAACTAGAAACTTATATATCTTAATCTCTGTAAACTCTACTGCAGATACTCAGAAGCAGTTATCTGAATTATGAATAATTCTTATAAAAGAAGTCTCAGAGAACTTATTAATTATTTACAGAATATTATTCTTTATATCTGTAATAGAGAAACTCTTCAAACTTATAAATAAATCAATCTCAATGAAGAATATTCTTGAGTATCTCTTATAGAATTAAGCTATTTTTCTATAAGAAATACTTACTATCTATAAACACTCTTAAACTGAGTTTCTAAACATAATCTTTAGAGATATCTATGAACTGAAAAGAAACTTTCTTAATCTATAATTACTTAAAATCACTTATTGAATCACAATCTATAAAAGCTTTTACAAGTTTATATTTAAAATTGACTTATAAGTCTGACTATGTAATATAAAAGATGAAGAAGCTGTTATCTATATAATAACAGATCTTTATTATACTGAAGTCAAGAACTGACTGAATTATCTAGAGAATAATTATAAGAGATTTCACTAATCTGTTCTTAAGATCTATCTAGAGAATAAGTTAAGAGACTTTATAAGTCAGACAGAGAATATCTAAACTGTAATTATTAATATTAGAAAAAGAGATAAGAAATCTGATAAAGACTACTTATAGTATTTTATAAAATTATGATATAAATTAAGATCTGTGAAAATAGAGCTCTAAAACAAGATCTGAATAATGATATTTATAAAGAAACTGAATAAAGATATGTAGAATAAGCTCATTAAATAAGACTCTAAGCTCTTGACTCTGAAGAAACTAATAACTCTTATTCATCACTTATAAATCACTGTAAGAGTTATAGATCTGTGAAGAGTGAATCACTAACTGACTCTGTAAGAATCAGAACAACAGAGAACAGATTTATTAGAAAAAGATAATAAAATATAGAGAGATTTATGTCTAACTGCTGAGTAGAAAGAGAGAGCTTTATAAGCTCTTATAAATAGAGTATATAATAGAGAGACTAAGAAAAAGAGACTCTGCTTTATCTATTCTAAATCAGAATATCTTTATATAAACTGTTCAGATAAATTAAAATAGAAATTTAAGAAGTTATAGACAGAGTTAGTAACAGTCTTCTTAAGAGTCTTAAAGCTGATATCTGAATCTGTTACTTCTTCAATGAAAATACTTACTTATAGAGAGAGACTATACTGCAGTACTGCTACTCTATAAGTATAAAAAGTATTAATAAACTCAGAATTTCAGATTACTATAATATTTCTAAAGCTTATAAAGTAAATAAGCTGAAAGATAAAGACTGAGAATCTGCTCTTATAATAAGCAGAATATAAGAACTCAGATCTGAGAACTGAGAGATTTATAAGAGTTATCTTTGAATTACAAGATCTCTCTAGAATCTGAAGAAGATTTATAGAAACTATAATTATCACAGATATTGCAGATGATATATACTTAAGACTTATATAACTTTAAAGACATAATCTGCATATAGCTGTCTGTGAGTCAGATTTATACTTTTAATCAGTGTTAATAAACTTACTCACAGAGATAGAATCAGTTAATACTGCAGAGTTAATTAGAGAAGATAAGCTTATTTATATAATAACTTTATAAGTGTCTGAGAATCTCACAGTCATGAAAACTGAGCTTCAGATATTAGAGAAATACTGAGATCTTACAGAGATATTCAGCTCAGTAAAGACAGCTGAGCTTTCTTCTCACTATAAGAAGAATCTAGTAATAGATTTAATAGAAGAGTAGAAATTCTTCTGAGAATCAATCTATAAACTCTCTTATTATAAGACAGAGATCTTACAGATCTATATAAAAAAGAATCTGAAGAATAACTTTATCTAATCTTTACAGATCTTCACAGAAGTCTCTATAATATTTATAAAGAAGAAGAATAAAGATCTCAGATTATATATAAACTACTGTAATCTAATCTTTAAGATAATAAAGAGCTGCTATTTTCTATCTCTGATTAAGAATGTAATCAACTGTCTCATAGAAGCTGTCATATTCACACAACTGAATATAATTAATATATATATATAACTGTAAATACAGTCTGAAGATGAATAAAAGACTATCTTTAGAATTATACTGAGATTATTTAAATATCTAGTGATGTCTTTTAATCTGACTAATACTCTTACAGTATTTCAGTCTTTTATTAATAAAACACTTTATATATATCTGAATATCTTTATAATAATATATCTGAATGATGTGATAATGTACTTTATAAAGAAGAAAGAACACACTGAGTATATATGAAGTATATTAAAGATCTTAGATAAGACAGAACTGTATATTAAGCTTATAAAGTATAACTTCAGTACTCATCAGATTAATTTTCTAGAATATGTAATTATTACAGATAATATTCAGATGAAATCTTCATAGATTAAGACTATTTTATTATAACTGAAGCTAACTAGTATTCATGAGATTCAGATCTTTCTGAGCTTTGTGAATTTCTATAGACAGTTTATCTTTATATTTATAAGAATCTTCTTAACTCTTACAGATATACTGAAGAGTGAAAATAAGAAAAAGTTATTTCATAAATAGAGAATAAAAAGATTATTAAGAAGAAAGAACTGTAAGAACTTTCTTATCTCAGAAGCTCATAGAGTCTTTATAAGATTGAAATAGATATTCATAGATACAGTAATACTATTTCACTTTAATCTCTTACTCTTAATCAGATTAAAGACAGATATCTTCTTCTTTATAATTTCAGAAATAGTCTTATAACTACAGTTAAATAAGAACTGAGTTTCAGTGATCTTTTTCTTATAGAAGATATAACTCATAGAGATTAATTATAGTATTTATAATCAGAAGCTTCTTATAATAGTGAAATTCTTTCATCACTGATATCACTACTTTAAGAGTCTTATGACAGTGATTACTGTTAGAACTGATTATAATAGCTTATAACAGTTTACTTTAATCAAGAAACTCTCACAGTGACAGATTCACTGAGCTCAGAGACTGAGTGAGTTCTGATTCAAGATAGAATATATCAAGAGAACTAAGAACTCAGTGAATGAATTCTCTCACAGATCAGACTATGTTAAGAAGATCAGAGTGATAGATACAGAGAGACTAGAGAAGATAGAAAAGCTTCACAGAATGCTCAGACTGAGTATTATAAAGAGATTGACTGAAGAGTCTTTCAATTCTCTATAAGAGAAGAAAGAAAAGAAAGAGAAGAAGTCTGTATAACTACTCTCTATAACACTGAGAGTTAATACTCTGAGAATCTTTATAAGAATTCTTGAAGAGAGTATCTATAATCTGAAGAGTTTGCAGACTTTGAGAAGCACTGCAGAAGATCTGATATAAGAAAAAACAGAGTATAAGTCTTTATAAGATCTTCTATTCAGATTGTCTGAACTACAACTGAAGAATAAATATACTCAGTATATTCAGAAACTGCTCATGACAGAGATTAACTCTGTAGAAACAAAGAATTGAAGAGACTTAAATAGTCTCTTATAAAGAGAGAGCTGAATTTATATACTTATAAATAAGTTTCTATATATAGAACTTATTAAAAGATATTATAACTCTTCTCTAGTGAGTTATTTTACAGATACTAGAACTCATGAGTTGTTTATAAGAAAATACTTCTAACTGAAGATGTAAGAACTTGTGAAGAAGATAGTGAATTCTTATACTATTTATCAGAGTTCACAGATAGTGTGATTTAAATTATATAAAGAACTTACTTCTCTACTCATCTTACAGAAATCTTGAAAATAGCTAGAAATAAATACTCTTATAAGTCTCTCTAAAAGCAAGAATATATATAATACCTGTTTTAACAGTATGCTGATGATAGTAAATTACTTTATCAAGATAACACACTTTATACTCATCTATAAGAACTTGAAGTCAAAGAATTTAACTCATATCTTTGTTCATAATATGATTCAGTTATATGAATTATCTATGAATATTATCTCAGATAGAGAATTAATCTTTATAGAAGAGTTCTGATCTAATCTGATAACTATATTAAAGATTTTATAAGATCTAAGCACAGCTTTTTATCAATAGATAGATAATCAGACAGAATATCTGATAAGTATATTAAAACAGTATCTGTAATACTTTGTTAATTATAATCAGAATGACTGAGTACATTAATTATCACTTATAAAGTTTATATATAACAACTTAAAATATATCAGTATAGATAAAACTCTCTTTGAGATACTCACTAAGACTCATCTGCAGATGATCTTGATGAACTCATAAGAGTATACTATAGAGTATAATAATACTTATGAACAGACTGAGAGAATTCAGAAGATTCAGAAGAAAGTCTGTGAATTCTTGAGAAAGACTCAAGAGTATTAGAAGAGATACTATGACTTCAAGTATATTATAAAGAGTTTTAAGAAAGATAATAGAGTTTGACTGAGTCTAGAAAATATTACTATATAGAGATCTAGTAAGAAGCTGAATCTCTTACAGACAGAGCTCTGTAAGATTATAAAGAAAGTTAGCTTACAGTTCTATAAATTAAAACTGTTATCTGAGTTATAGATATATAATATTTTTCATATCTCTTTACTCTGTGAATATAAGAAATTCTTAGAAGAGAATTCTATGACTTATCACTCTGTTTATAAAACACTAGAGAGTGAAAGAGAATATCAGATTAAAGAAATTATTAACTCAGAGAAGTGAGATTATAAGCTCTGATTTAAGATTCAGTGATAAGAATATTCTGATAAGATGAATAAGTTCACTTAAGAATTATCTAAGCAGATAAGATATCTGTAGAAGCTGAGACATGACTTTCATACTGTAAATTCTGATAAGTTAGAATAGTACAGTCTTTACTAAGAATCTGATTATAATAAAAATATTAATACTGTTATTTATAAATTCTAGTCTATAAGATGATGAGTTTCTACTGAGATGAACAGTCTGCAGTATATATAAGAAAAGAAGAAATCATATTCTTATTAAAGTTAAAAAATAAGAAAATAAACAGAGCTATGAACACAATTTGAAGATCAATAAAGAAAAAATAAAGAAAACTTAAACTTATATTCTTATCATCTATAATACTCAATCTTCTCACAACTATCAATTTCTCTCTTTAAAGAAGCAGAGAGTATTATACTCATAATACAGATAATTATTACATTTAATATGAAAACTGTCAGAAATGCACAGACTTCAGAGAAGTCAGATATCAGAGTATATACAGTTATAGCAGAGTCTTGAAGACTGATTATCTATATATATAATCAGATACTTCTTACAAAGCTGTGTCTACTCTCTCAGTTACACTGAAGTATTCAGCTCAGAAATAATTAAGATATGAAGAGAGAGCTTATCTATTCAGATTAACTCTTATCATGAATTTATAATATTTACATTATCTTAATTATTTAAATTTTACAGATACTCAGAAACTCATCTCTCATTGATAATGAGATTGCAGAAATACACTGTGATATGAGAATTATTGATAGAGAATCTAGATATATTTGCATATATCTGATCAGAGATTGTGTGAGTAGAGAGAAGATAATTATAAATCTGTAAGACTGCAGAAGATACTGATAACACTGAGAGCTTTATAAGAACTATCAGCTAGAATCTGTAAGAAATTACTTATAAGAAGACTTATAGTAAAGAGAGAGACTGTGCTACTTAAAGTCAGAAACTGATCTGAGAAAGAAATGAGATGAGCTGTTAATCTGAAGATTGAATACAGTGACAGAGCTGAAGAGAGTGAAGATGTAATTATAAGTAACAGTGTCTCTGCTTCATCAGCTGATAAAAAGTAATTAGAGAAGTTATGAAAACACTCATGAGAAGCTCAGTAGTAATCAGACATTGTTATAAAGATATTGAAATTAAAAAATTTTTATTCTTGAAAAGTTCTTAAATTAATATATAAATATTATCAGAAATATACTCTCTCTATTATCTAAGTGAAAACACTTTATAGATAAATAAGAATACTCACAGTTTATAAAGATGAGAGCTGTTATAGAAAAAGAGAAAAGAAGATGAGATTCTGTAGACAGATCTGAAATATTTATACTACTTTAAAGAGATTTGCTTACACTGTAAGTAATTCTGTAGAACAGTTAGATTACTCTAGTAAATAAGAGTAATTATGAATCACAGATCTGAATCTTTCTATATAACTATAAAGAGTGATTACAGACTGTAGATATCTTGATTCTACAATTCTATAAAATTAATAAAAGAATGAAAAATTTCTCACAATTCTACAGTGTTAAAGAATAATGATTTATAAAAATAAATAAAAGATTAACTTATGAATATTTCTCTTTAATGAGAGTAATCTTATAAAGAGTGATTCATCTGTAAAATAAATCTATATAATAATTATATAAGAATCTTATAAAAATAATTAAGAGTTAACTGAAATTCTTCTGTATGAAAGATATAAGATGAATCTGTATAATAATCAGAGAAGAATCTGTAGATTATAAAGAATCTCATAGAATAAGAAACTGAGTGACAGACTCTTTTTTCTTTATAGTGATAAGGGATTTTTTCTCACTGAGATTTTTTATAGATATAAAGAGTTTTTAGTAAGTATCACTACAGTGCTGAGCTGACTATGAAATCACTTAGTAAAAGACTTTGTGAATAAAGTCTTAGAGAGAGAAAGATATATAAGAAATCTTACTTCTTATGAATTCTTTATCTCTATTTCTATCTCTCACATAATTAATAGAGCTAGCAGCCCTTGGCTATACATAACTATATAGACTGAAGTTTACAAATACTATTCATAACTCAGCTTAAATACTATTATATATTTAATCTCTACATTTTATCTTTCTATCATGAACACTTCTAGTAGTTAACAGTACATATCACATCAAGCTGCAAACACCTGAATAATCGCCTGCAAGCACTTATTCTTACAATGATAGATAATTTCTTACTAATCTGAAGAGTGTCTGACTGCAAGCATTCAAATCTAACACTGTGAGAGCTGGCTTTGCTGACTGCAGAATGTATTCAGTTAATCATGATATAATTCTCAATCAATTGAGACCTCTTATCATTGATGATGCTCTGAATCTCAACATATATAATAATGATGATAATGTATGCAATCACTTTATCTCACTATCTGCAGATTAATTATTAACTGTCTTCTTACAATTAACCTCTTCAGAGACAGTTGCAAAACTATGTCATTAAATCAATACAGCAGTCAAGACCTTAGAAGATGTGAAGAATACTCTTACATCTGATTTGATAAAACAGTTGAACAAGATCTTCAAGAGTAGCATGATTCAGATGAAATTGAACACATATTATAAGAGTGAACTTACAGATCATTATTAAACAAATAGATATTAAGTTATCAAATTCTCTCACAGACAGGTATAAGTAGATGAAGTTCTCACTATTAAGAATGTCAATCACAAGATCACAATCTGTAGAGTAGATAACATAAAAAAGATATTCAATAAGAATCTTTGATTGATTGAAATCAAATCTATAAAATCTACAGTCACTCAATCACAATAAGATAATTCTATAGAATCTCAATCTACAGTGGATTCTACATCTTCTAATGAGTATATAGATAATCTTTATGTTATAGATAGATGTGGTAATGATTATTAATTAATTTTTGAAGATCAATATATTCAAAATATTTTCTGTATGATGTGGTTTTCCATACACTGTGGTGCACTCACTAGAGAGAGTGAGTAAGCATGGCACAGTTAGTAACTAACTAGTAACTAACTACAGTAACTTACAGTAGTTAGTTATTAACTACGGAGTACTCGTGCCGTTGCTTAACTACTCACTCACCTCACATAACTAGTTACTCCAAAATGGATTCAAGAAGAACGCAGTAATAATCCGTGAATAGCAAACTTTTACACACCACCTTTCCCCACTCCCATAAGCTAAACAGATTCAGAGACAGTATCCAATTGTGGCAAAGGAACATCGATGTTATCAGTAACAGTCAAGCTGAACCTTCACCCTTTCTCAAGTTCTTTTACGGCGGCTGGCTTGAAACATACGACCCGTTTGGTGGCGAAGAGTACCGAAAGCAGATGGTGGTCGACGACAAGGCTGTTGTGATAGAAATGCTAGAATACTGCTACGGAGTATAACCAACAGGTGCACCTATTATTCGAGGACACCCACACCCTCATCCTCACATTGGATGTCACGGAGAGGGAGGAGCTTGATTTAACCCAGCAAACCCATGCTGCATTTCTCAGATCTACGCCACAGAGCTGCGTGTTCCCTGGCTGGCCAATTTACAAAGCGTCATCAGAAGATAAAGCGACCCAAGCGGCGAATTTGGAGACACCACAAACATTTATGTGCTTCCCACGCCTGCCGGAATTGCAAATCTCCGTCCTGCGCGAAGCTCTCACATGTCCTTGATCCTGTTCCGCTTACCATGGCACATGTCGCTGGGATTAACTTGGACATTTTGAAAGTGTGTAGACTCTTTTATGAAGAAGGATCCAAAATATTCTGGAATGAAAACACGTTCCTGCCGCCGAAACCTTTGACTTTAGTGGCTGAATTGGGATGGGTCACCCCAAGTAAACCACGGGTGGTCTCCACAGAGGAAGGCCAAATATGTCGTCGAGTTGTCGTCCAGGTATAACCAACCCGTTGTGGATGTAGTGACAAATCTTGTTCGTGAGCGCAGAGTAGCGGTCGTAGCATCCGATGAATTTGATAGCACATCTGAAGCGCAAAGTCTCACTAGCCGAGTCCCAAGCCGCCAGGCAGGGCCATTGCAGCAGAGGTCCAATCGCAGGAACTTGAATGAGGGTTTTCGCTCGTTGGTGAAATCTTTTCAACGGCGGGCGTCGCGGATTTTTGTTACAAAATAAGCCTAGTACGGGGATGTTTTGAGTTTTGATAAAGAGACAGGATATGCAAACTAAACGGGCCACTTCCGCTGTGGATGCGCGGTGAATTGCGTTTTAATAACCAGGAACTTCCCTGGCACAATTGGTTCAAGAGTTTCGCGTTCATGTCTTTCCTTGAAAATGTCAGGTAGCTCTTGAAAATACCCCTGGTGAACATTGTATTTATTGTATTTCACTGTCGTTGTATACCCACCAGGCATTCCTCGCTTATCTTTCCTTGCCGCCCATCTCGCTGGGAATTTCTCTTCATATAGTCCCATATCCCATATACAATTATGCCTCTTCGTCTAAGCTGCCCAACACCTGCTGGAAACTCACAAACCACATGGAATCATATTTTCCACGCATGGAGAATGTATCTCAATAATTTGTTCTCTCCCATCGTAGCCTCCAGCTCAGTCAAGGTTTCCAACATAGCGTCATATAACTGTAAAGCAACATGCTTCGTGAAATCTAAGCTCCCCGCAGCCTTCATCTCGGAAAGTATATACGATTTTAACTCGTCCGAAAGCTCGATACCCGGCTCGCGATGGAACATTAACCCCTTAATTCGGTCCTTCGCGACACTATTCTGAAGCGTGTGTATTAGAATTATCGATAGCTTCCCCTCTGAAAGGTCGTCACAGAAACCCTTCATGGCCATGTACTGCAGGTGGAAGTGGGCAAATCAAGTAATAATTAGCATTTGATTGTCTTGGGTGGGGGGTTGAAGAATAATGATCGAAGGAATGGGGACTTGAATGAGGGTAAAAGAACAGAACTTACCTCGCTAGACTCCAAATTCTGATAATCATTCCATATCTGATAGTATCTTCCCAGTAGATTAATGAAATGTGACAGCTTGGTGTCCGGGGCTGCTGGATTCCCCGACTCTGCAGACATTAACCTCATCACGAGCTGAAAGAAACTCCCCGACTTATTGTCGACCATGACAAAGTAATCACTGATGGGTGGACACAGCTTGTGAAATCTCCAGTGCAATTCCAGAGACTGGCCTAGACCCAAGGATTTCAATTCATCTGTGACAGTAAAGTTAACAATTTACCCAAAATTGTCTGAGTGTGGGAAGGGTTAAGAGGCTTCAATTCAACCTACCAATTAAGATATCTCTGCATGCATCCGCGAATTTCAATTGCGCCATTAGCTCGAATATTTTAACCCAAACGTAGGTTGCCGAGTTCATGGTCTGATTCGTGCCATACAAGATGTACGCTGCAGGCATTCCTCGCCGCGTCTGCGAGCCGTCTTGTACATCATCTACCCTAAATCGGTTGAAGAACATTTTCAGTCATGCGGTATCGGCTATGCGAATGAAGAACAGGGCCTTACACACATTAACAAGTTGTGATAGACCATCATGGCTGCGGTTTCAATGACCTTAACTGATTCCTCTCGCAGCCCAGGGATCCAAGCCCGTAAACCCTCTACGAGTCTAGACAAGTTTCCCTTGCTAGGAGAGGAAATAGTGTATTCAAACGGTGCCATGCACATCTGTCCAAGTTTTTATTAGAAGGTGCCTATAAAAGTGGGAACAGATGGCTCACCGTTTCCGATGGTGCCCTCCTAAAGGTTTGGAAGACATCAATCTCTGCTGTGACGGAAATTTGGGCTTTGTTTCCAGACAGTTTTGAGGCTGTCTTTGCGACGTTTGTAATGGAGCCGGAGAAATCATTCGTATCCATTAATTGATGACCATCCTGTGTAGTCCATTGCGCATTCGTGAGTGCACCGTTTTGGGGTGGGCGAGGTATGCAGTTCTTGGAACTGTAACTAACAGGTATATCTCCATCGTTTGCGCTCGTCGCCGGGTCTGTCTCAAAAGTCGCTTTCCAATAGGCCATCCCCCCTGCTGCCGCCATGATTAAGGCAGCATAAAATTGAAGTTCATCAGACCTTTGTACCGCTGACAACTGCCAAGTGTCATATTCATGCAACGCAGCATCTTCAAGCGCGCAAATCTCAGTCTTCAAAATCCTCACAGCATCATCCTCAGATCTACTATAAGTAGACATTAGGAATACAACCGTGTTGGAGATCCTATCCAAAGTGGCACCTTTACTGTCATTTCTGAACGCTTTCTGATAGTCGTAGAGGTCATTGAGCAAAGCAAGGGCCAAAATCCCTTTATCGACGAAGGAGGAAATTGAGTTCTGCTCTTCCTCCGAGATCCGTGCATACGATGCAACGAGAGAGATTATGAGCCTGAACAAAAGTAGAGAGGTACGCGTTAGCATATCCCTTAGAGCTGTTGAGGGGCTATTTGGCCATGCCTTTCTTCCCCATAGTCTCCTCGAAGCAACTTATACTCCTCGAAGTTCATCTCAACCGTGAGATCTGCAGTTCGCTTTGTTGTCACAATATTTTTGAAAAGCTTCGAGAAATGAGTGCAGGGATCGGTGATGCCAACTGTCCCCGTGAAGTCCTTAAAAGCATCAAACCACAGTTCATTAATTTTGAACTGGAAGTTTTGATTCTTCTGGTCCAGATTTTGCAGTAGGTCTGTCAACGCCGAGTTACGCTGTTCTTGCGTTAGTTAAGAACCTCCCGGTAATATCAACTCCTACGTCATGATGCACTCACAGATTGCTCATCGAGATTCTTAGCGGCATCTGCTCAGATACTATAAGCTCAAAAACGTTCATGAGATCATGAAAGCCGCTGGACATACCATGCCAACATAAACCAAATTGTGCAAATTTCGTCCACGGAGTAATTAACTCTGGTGGGCATTCTGGCAGTAGTAACGACATGAAGTTATCACCGCTATCGGTGAGATATAAGGCGCGTAGCTGTGAATCTTCTTGATCAGCCTCCAGCGCCTCTGTCCATTCTCTCCAGGCATCGAGTGATGCGGCTTGAAACTGCCCGACGAATCTCGACACGCGGACAGGAAGTGTGCTATGAAAACAGGCCGGCGAAATTCTGCTAGGCTCAATCAAATTTGAGAACTTGAAATCATACACGACGCCCGGGAGTTTTGCCATTATTTCGCCCACAAGCACCTGTCTGCCTAATGGAAACAATAATTTTGTGTGAAAGAGAAAACAGAGCACTAGAGGGGAGTATTATATCTCGACAGTTAAGTGACTCTTCTTTGATGCAGGACAAATCCTATTAATGTTAAGTGTTCGCATTATCGGTTGCTTTCATCTGTATGTGGCTTGCGTTTGTGCATTTGGAGTACGACATTCACACGGAGACTATATCTGGGTTTGGGGGTCCCCAGTAGTTAAGGGGAAGGAGAACACCAGGCATGCATCTCTCTGCCTTTGAACAATGTTCAAAGAATTTTCTGAGTAAACGAGTTGAGATATCCTTACGATTTCGGTCCATCGATTCGATCCTTTGACAAGAAGCATTGGTATGCCGATGAGCTTTGCGGTCATTTGGGGATTTGGCCAAAGGACTCTGCGTATTACTCCCCAAGTGGCCAAGTTCCGTAAACCAGTAAAAGAAGCGAGTTTCATTGGATTTGGCTCAAGCAGAAGACATTGAATGCGGGTACCTGGGTGCAAACAGTCGCATCCCTGTGGGATGGATGTATGCACTGTACATGTACAATGTACGGGTACTTCGGTCCTTTTCCCATGATGAAATTTGGGTACTATTGTTCCCTTTCTTCATATCAATAAAACGCAGCCAGTACAGTACAACGTACGTGAAGAAGTTAAGATGCATTGAAGTTCTTCAATGAACAAAGGGTCGATCCGTACAGAAACACCTGGGCAGGCACCAGGCCAAACAAAGTTTAGCGTTTTACTGTGCTCTTCGGGTTCTGACCAATCATTAAACACCTCACATAGTTGATGAGGCCCAGCCAAACCCTCTATATCTCTTTAGCGAGAACTTATTATTCTTACCTTGGAGCCTAGAACAATCTTTAAAGACTGGTTAGAGGAAGTTATGACGAGTCCTTGTTATTGTTTGTTTCCCTTAAAATGGCGTTGGATTGCACAGTAAATGTATGATTATACAGTACAAACTAACTTCATGTGTGTTCTCGTGGCCACCTTCTGTGGGGTTTTTATAGGATTGACAGGAATGATAGCTCTGTAGGGCTATGCAAGATTCATTATGTATGTCAATCCTGCATATCTCTCAAATCACAAATGTTGAGGTGGTCATCAACATCTAGCTGGTGACTTATGGAGCGGACCTACAAGGGTATATCCAACAGCAACGCTCCGCCGATTCTACTTTGATGTTAAAAATTCGATATTGAAACAAAACAGTTATAATGGAGTATGTATTATGCATGCTTAAGGTAGTTCGATGCCTCCGAACATCTTCAAGCCCTCTGATACTACTGTCCTCTATGTCAAAAATTGGGGGCTGTATAGTGAGATGTGCAGCAAAGGCCCACTATTTATTGTGCCAAAACCAACGCTGACCACCATTTCTTTCTCAAATAATCTCGCCCCGATAATATATACAGGCATGCAAAGGAAAAATGCGACACCAACAACAACCGCTATAGTAACAGCAGAATCTAAGGAATATCTCCCTCACCTCCCGCCAGCGCCCTCCCAGCTTTGATCAGACAGTAGAGCGGCAACCCGATACTCCATGCCCACACTCCGCTTCGCAAGTAGCTGAGACCTTCCGACTTGACACTCATATACAGCGCGGTGTATATCATACGGGCACCAATATATTCAGCAGCGATCAGGTTTAGATCGCTGGCAGGCAGCTTCGCGGCATTTCCTGCGATCTATTTAATTTTTGTTAGTTGTTATCCCCTCAAAAATTTCTTTGACTAGAACGGCCTTGTGACTTGGCAGGATGCACAATGTTTTATTGACGGTGTGTACATACCATTGCAGCAGCAAACAAAGGAAGGGACTCTAACGCATTCAGATGCGCGCTGTGCGCGCGAAAGAGCTTACCCCATGTCTCCGCTGGGATACGACCCTTGAGTGAGGAGAAGTGGTCGCGAGGCCTGTCGGAGGAAAATCTCTTTGTTAGCAATAATTTCGGGCCATATATGTCAAATAATGAAATACTTCCCCTGTTCCACGCCCCAGCCCTAGGAGACAACTTACAGGACATTGGATATCTGTTTCATTGAAGCTAGTTTAAGCACGTAGTATCCATGAGGCGCTAGGCCAAGCATATATGCTCCGGCGATGGAGTGAAAGGACCAGTTATTCGTAGCTTGCATGGTTTTTTTTTTTTTTTTTTTTTTTTTTTCTTCCAACAATTGTTCAGAAATTTCGTGGTTGGTAGGGGTAGCCGGGTCTTGGGAGAAATATAAATGGTAAAATATCTTTGAATAAAGCCTAATGATGATTTCAGCGTGCTTAAGAAAACAGAGTCCCCGTTCAGCAGCTCAGGGCACGCATTATATACCTCCCAGCATGATGTTATGTATACCTTCATCTCAACAACGCCATCCATTTGCTCACTGTTGTAATGGCTTTAGATAACGTTATGCTGAGCTTGGCGTAGAAAGGCGCGGCTGTTAATAATGAAGTCACAGATTTTCATACTTCTAGTAGTTTCCGTAGTTTTATAAAGGACGAAACGAGGTAGAGTTTAGATGTTTAGCACTTACACTTGACTTCTCCGTACATTCGCAGAGACTCAGGGGAGGAAGGGAGAAGTTGATGGCAGCGATAGTTAACGATGTCGAGGGAGCTCCAGTTGGTCCGTGCCGGCTGAGCTTGCTAGGTTATAGCTCAAATAAAATGATGATTTAGACATAGTTTGAAAGCGTTATTGAGAAAAAGAACGCAAGCGAGGTGTGTCTTTCAGGATCCAGAAGTCAACACCCCTAGCTGCATCTCGCCCCCACATTGAACATGTTGCGAGATATCATTGAAGAGACCAATGCACGCCATTTGCACAACATTCGAACACGTTTCAGTTGATAAACACTCTTTTCTTGATCCTCGAGCTATGAAGGGGGGTTTTTCATTGTCACTACCTACGCAGCAGATACCTATCTACCGTGAGGATATTGAACCGGATCTCTAATCAGCATAATCAAGAGCGAGGCTTCCTCATCCCTGATATGCGTGTGACGTGTTCGACACATATCTGGCAACGATTTCTTAGAGAGCTCTTTACGCGTCATCCACCAGTCTATCTCCGGGCGTATTCTCGGCTGAATACCATACACCTCGATGAGTATATGTTGCGGGTTTTCCTAGCACCGTCTATCGTCTATGTTGAGACGCTGCGGCTTCGATGGAGGTCTCCTGCTGAGCCAATTCCCGTCATAACTTCAATGAGCAATTGGTAGCCGTGCAGATTGACTGATGCCGCATGACATTTTCAACGCCTTGATGCCTTATCTTGAGCAAGGTCAATCATGCAGAGGAGCCAACCACGAGCGAAATCTTTTTTTTTTCCCTTGTATTTAACCAGACGCCTTCAATTGTCAATGCATTTTGCCGCTTCGACAAACGCCGGTTTATTAAATACTAGCGACGCCTACGGAATCTATCTTCAATATTGTTTAACAGTGGCGTTGGAAAGAGGGTATACCAGAGACATATAGCTATGCTCCCTTGCTATTTGATCTTGTCGACGAATTCTTGGTGGCATTAATATGCCATACCTACCACTTCTCCCCAGGCATTACGGAGTACCCTTCTCAAAATCTAGGTTCCTCCACTGTCCATCCAACCGCAGTCAGTGATATCATCGACTAAAACATACGGTTGCCAAGGCACTGGAACACCCGCCAAAAACATGCCTCTTATCGAGAGCGACGATTGGCTGTCTATATCATTCTATTGTCTTGGCTATCACAGATTGCTAATGGACCGGAAGAATTAAAGCGCTGACTTCGCCAATTGGGGCGTTGTTAATCCCGAATGGACTAGGCAAAAATAAACATGGAGGGCGTTGTTGGGAGTTCCCATTAGGGGAGTAGGGGAGAGAGAGCGGGAGACGGGGGGAAGCGTTCCACCAATAAATAGTTTCCCATTCCATAACCTCCCTGCACTGAGCTGATTAATGGAGGGTGGTGAAAAGTTCCGGGCGATGTTTACGAATATCGATTGGTTATGACATTTCAGACACTACCACTGGTCAGCAGCCCAGCCTAGATATGGGCTACGCGTATACATAAGAGGAGCGAGGGATCTTGGGGGGAGGGGAGTTACCGCTCAAAACGAACATATTTAAATAGCTAGGCAAAATTTCCCGCTTTTCCACCCTAGTGCCTTATGCGACGCATACGCCTATGTCTAATGCCTAAGGAGGGACAGAGTGGTGCGCTGGCGGGCTTTATCTCATAGGTCAACTAGTTCTTCTCCGTGTCATAGGGTCTGGGGCGGGAGCGAGTTAACAAAAGCTAGGGAAAGACCCTTGAACTTTGGGCGGGTCGTAAAATTGATCTGTCTCCTTCCGCCTGTGCATGGATGAGCAAAGCAGAGAATCAGTGATACGAAGTGAGGGCAAGGGAGAAATACCATTTTTCCTAGTTATCAATGGCCCTCATGTAGACCATACGATGTATTCTTGTTTCTTATATCCATTCAATCATGTAATGATGGGGTCGATAAAATGAAAGATGAAACGGAGAAACTCTGAATATTAACAGCCTGCCAGCCAGCATGGGGAAAAAAGAAACGAAAAAAGGGAAAAGAAAACCTCAAACAACCATGAAAAATCGATACGTTGAATCCAGTAGTGTGGGCAAAAGTTGGCAGATGATGCGGGGGTGAGGCGACAACAGCAGCGGCGGGCATGCATCGGTCGGCCTTGGCTTGCGGGACTGGGGGCAATCGGGTCACTCCCTTCGCACCCCCTTCGTTCAGATGTCAATGTCAAGAACAACAAGCAAACAAAAACAAAAACACTGAAAAAAGGCACACGACAACAGAGCCAGCGGCTGACTTGGAGCTAGATATATCCATGAGATTTAATGGAGAGCTGCAGAATAAATGCTCCAGCCGCTACTTCACTCATTTATCTGGCCCCCTTCTCATCCAAGGTCCCGATGTGCCTTTTATTCATTGGTAAATGTATACAGACAGGCTGGCAGATTCACCTACTCCTTGTGTTTAATGTTCTGCAAGGCTTACCTTAATGACGCCTGACAAGTGGCCGTGCGAAATGCCCAAGGTGTATGGCTCAATGTGGATAGGTATCTATATATATATATATATAGAGTTGGGGGAACTGCTGTTTTTTTTCCCTTCGAATTCTAAAGCAGCAGATTGTTTATCATTATTTTACCGTACTTCGAATCAACAACGAGTGAAGCAATTCAATGTCCGAAGTTCTAGACATGCCAGGGGCGCTCGTTGGGGTGACCAGCCCTGATCAAGAGCAGTTCATACAGATTAGAAAAGCCAGTGAAGCCGCATGCAGCTTCATCGAGGTGTGTATCCGTGCCTTTTGCTTGCCGGTCTTAATCCGATCCAACTGTTTCATACACTTGAAAACTAACAGATGTGGCAAAAAGGGATTGCTCCAAAAGATCAAGAGCCTCGAAGTTGATCTTGACAAGAAGAACGTGGATCTAGAAAAAGAGAAGGATATGGCAAATATGTATCATCAGCGTGTCAGAGAAACGAAGGCGGATTTGCAGAAGATTCAGCAGAATATGGTTAGGGAACTTGACCCTCCCCGGGAATAGTTCGCAACGAAGTATTTAAACCACTGGGTTCGGCCGGGCTAACTGTACGCGCATCTGATATTTTAGGAACGTAATGCGTTTGTGTCCGTTTTGGTTGACGGAGACTCGATGAATGTATGAGATTTACCCTGTGAATCCTTCTCGATATTAAGCATCACTACCATTGTTGGTTTGTTGTCAATTCTGATGTGAATGATAGTTTTTGGACGAGTTTGTCGAGCAAGGTGAGTCGGGAGGTCAAGAAGCTGCCCGACTCCTAATTCAACTAGTGTCGAGATACGTGCAGAATGAATTGGCCGATCCTCCCGCCCACTTCTCCGTCGATGTCCGTGTATTCGCGAATCTGAAGGGGTTGAGGCGAACATACCAAGCTCATATACTGGACGATGAGAATGAGTTTGAGCTGTTTGTTCGTGGATTCAACATGGGCCATCCCCTGTGCAGCTTTGTGGACGCAGGTGCTGGCAAAGAATGCTCGGATGATAAGATTCGCGGTAAATCTCCTATCGCACTAAGATCCTACGAAAGGACTTGCCAGTTAACCTGCTTCAACTCCAGAAATTTTCAAGTTGCACGCTGGCAATGTCCATTGTAAGCACATCGTGTTTGCCGCTTCCACCGATAACGGATATGCGCGTCTCCTCGGGCCCTACAGCAGTAGTCCGGAATTCTGCAAGCGTGTGACGATGCTCGAAGGCCCACCATTCGAGAAAGAGCTAGCAGAGTTGAAGAATAGGTACCGCACTACCTCATTCCCAACGCTCTTCCGAGACACGAAGCTACCTCCGATTAGAAGAGTTTCATTTTCCGCCACACCTATGTATGAGCCGACCCCATCTAAATCCCCTCCAAGCTACGCACATGCCGCATCTTTCAGCAGTTCTCCGCCGGGGTATAATTCTTCCCGCCCATCCACTCCCGCATCAGTTGAGAAAACGCCAGGTTCACCCAACGGCGCCAATGGATCAGTTTGGTTCAATGGTAATGGTACCGTGAACTCCGGGCCCGCGGTTCTGAAGAATAAATATGGACAGCGCGTCGACTCCTCCATCAAGCCTTCATCCAGCATTGTCCAAAGCCTGAAATCGCGGAAACTTTGCAACCCATACCATTTGCTGGGCGCCTGCCACTTTGTTGCTTGTAAGCATGAGCATGGCGAACGGCTGAGTGAGAAAATGATGGAGGCTCTGCGCTACGTAGCACGACTCGCACCGTGCCCTTCCGGATTGGAGTGCGAGGATGAAAATTGTTATTCCGGTCACAGGTGCCCGAACAATCCGTGCCACCGACCAAATTGCCATTTCCCGAAGGAGATGCATGGGGTTGACACCAAGATTTGTAAAACGCTGAGCGTACAGTTGTAGTCTGGGCAATTAGTAGTTCCAGTCTCAAATAGGAAGGAAGATATGGTATTCGACGGGTGGAAACCCGGGCCTGGAGGCTTTATGTTGTGATTTCTAATAGTGTTAATTTCGTTGCGACTTGGTAAATACGAACGAACGATTCTTGGAGCCACAGTTGTGTTGATAGTGGTGGCGTTCATTAGCTTAATATGCATGCAGAGCACCAAATTCGAGCTTGACTGTTTTAACTGAAATTTCGGCAGCGTACCTGGTGTTGGTGCATAATTGTTAAACCAAGGATGGCTTGCGATATACCTGCCCAGTGTTTCGCAACGGAAATTGTACGGGATGTCCTTGGTAGTCTCATGGTTTATATTAGAGTAAAGCCTCGTTCCAGAGTAGTATGCGTAGGGTCCTTGCGGTTCGGAGCGGGGAATGACTGGAAGGAATAAATAAAGAAATTTTTATTTCCTGAACCAGCGTGGAGCCGCATACCAAATATAAGCTTTGGCGTAGTTAGTTATGGAAGCGGAGGGCCGGAAAGCAAGGAACGGCCCGGTTGATTGGCAATGCAGCGCAACGTAGGTTGGGATGCCAGATCATGTACGGAGTACTGTAACTACGGAGTAGATATATGTACACGTTATGTACTTCAACAACTTCCTTGATCACACCACATTCTTGATCATTTTGATCTCTGCCCTTAGAGAAGTATGGCATTCATTTTCACGTTTCGGGCTTTTCAAATAGGAATGGAGACCTGCAGCTTTGCAATTGGCATCCAGGAAGATAGTAACAGAGAATCTGATGAATAGTTAGCCAACTGACAGGGTAAACACTGCGTTTCGAGGCGAGGACATGGGTGTTGGAGCGGGGAAGGATGCAAATAATCTTCTCCTACGCACACATGCCGCAACTTTCCGATGATGAGAGTCACAAACCGCGCGAAGGCTCAAGGCTGGATTGTTTACCCCCGGATGATTCATGCCCAGCGGCTTGGAGAGTAAGAAGAAGCTGCAGGGTATGCAGTAGACGACGTTACCTCAGCCTGGGCTAGTGAGAAGTTGTTCGAATAGGAGGGCGTTGTAAGGTGTTGGAGAAAATTGTTTGATATATTGTGCTCTAATTTCAAGATGTGTGTGTGTCCTGGCAAATCTCCACCGCTAATAAAAGAAGATTTTGAAGAGACCAGCGGCTGCAGGACAGACTATTAGACTGGCAGGTTGGAATTGGATAGCCCTGAATTCAGACGCACAAATATGAGAGAGAGTTCGCCAATATTAATTATTATTATTATTGAGGTTGAGCAACGAAGGATGGATGAGGAAACATCGCACGGAGTACTTACCATACTCTGTTGTGTCTGCCGTTGTTAGCCGGGAAGCTAGCCCCTGAACTAGCCCCTGAACCGCCTTCACTAGCTTTAACTAACTGGAGGCTGGCTTAACAAAGTTCTAGCGTCTTGGCCTTCCGGATGCTTAACTGAAGCCCCTTCTCCGCGTTTGTCACTCCACACACTCACTCGGCAGTAGTAGTGAGTCTACACTCCGCAAAAAAAGAAATCATCATCACACAACACAGAACCAGCACCGCCAGCATTTTGATGTGATGTATATACATGTACATGTACAAAAGTCTTCGCCTTATTGCTCACAATGACGCACTTAACATTTCCACCAATTGCGACCCACCCTGCCTTCTCCCCAGTGCCAGGAGAAACCAAAACCCATTATGCCCGTCGTGGAATTATTGTCGAGTTGTTCGATGTAACATCCTCCTCCCTGTTAAATGACGGCTAAGAGGAGCTAGCAAAGTCCTGGCTCAGCAGCTCCTGATTTGCGGGAAAGAAGAAGGTGCCATTGACGTGAAAGATCGGCAAGCTCTCGGTCGAGTCAGGGGAAATCATGAATTTGCGGGGATATATATATATATATCGTCTTGCGCATCACCACCCCCTTCGCTTTTACTCAACATGGGTTATTTGCAGACGCTGTGGACACTGCGGTTATCGCGATCCCGGGGAAAACTTTAGATTTCAGTGTTTCGTCAAGGAGTACGCTGCTATCGCCTTACAGTCGTTCCCGCGGTTTCCCTTCTCGTGCATCTCCAGAGCTGAAGAGCATTGGTTGCGGCATTGTTTATCGATATCACTATCATTTCTTGAAGAGATCGCACATTGGAGAATTTCAACATGAAGGTAAGTAAGCCGGGCAAAACACACATATTCATGACCAACCACGGTATGGACTCTGAGAATGCGATATACTGATTGAGCAGCCTAAATGCATAGACATTTATGCTCCTTTTCCTTGCGGGCATCTGCCAGGCTATTGAACCCGCGCGCCAGCCGCATCCTCCTATTGGCGGCGGTGATAAGCTTCTGACCTATAATGAGACGGTTCCCAGGGCGAAGATTTCTCCCGCAACTATCTCAGTGGACTGGATCTCCACGGACGAGGACGGCCAGTACTTGTATCAGGACGAAGACTCAACTCTCGTTATCCAGAGCATCATTACTGAAACCAAGAAGACGTTGATCAAGGCTGACCAAGTGCCGGATGACGCTCATGAATATTTCCTCAAGCCGGACCTATCGGCTGTGATGTGGGCTACCAACTACACCAAGCAGTATCGCCATTCTTACTTCTCTAACTACTTTATTCAAGACGTTAAGACAGGCGAGTTGACTCCTTTGGCCGAAGACCAAGCCGGTGATCTGCAGTATGCTGCTTGGGGCCCCGTTGGAAACACAATCGCATACGTCCGTGGAAACAATTTGTTTATCTGGAAGGACGGTACCACCACACAAATTACTACCGATGGTGGCCCTGACACCTTCAACGGCGTCCCCGACTGGGTCTATGAAGAAGAAATCTTCGGTGATCGGTATGCATTCTGGTTCTCTCCTGACGGGAAGTCACTTGCATTCCTACGCTTCGACGAAACTGGGGTGCCTACATTCACAATCCCGTACTATATGAACAACAAAAAAGTGGCTCCACCCTACCCTAAGGAGCTGGATCTCCGTTATCCAAAGGTGTCTGAAACAAATCCCACGGTTGAATTCCACCTGCTAGATATGAGCTCACTCAAGAGCAAAAAAGTGCCCACTGATGCGTTTCCCGCGGATGAGTTGATTATCGGTGAAGTTGCATGGGTCACGGAAAAGCACCAAGAAGTCGTTTTCCGCGCTTTCAACAGAGTCCAAGATCAGGAAAAGATTGTCTTGGTGGACACGGGCTCCGGAAAAGCTTCAGTAGTTCGTGAACGGGATGGCACCGATGGTTGGTTGGACAATCTGATGTCCATCCAATACGTTGGCAATGTTAAAAATGATAAGACCCAAGGCCACGGCGACACTTACTATGTTGACATCTCTGATGAATCAGGGTGGGCACATATTTACCTGTTCCCCGTGAAGGGGGGCAAACCGATCGCATTGACCTCTGGCGAGTGGGAGGTCACGGGTATTGTTAGCATCGATACGGAGCGCGAATTGATCTACTATCTTTCAACCAAACATCACCCGACAGAACGGCATCTATATTCCGTTTCATACAGCACTTTGAAAACAAAAGCTCTCGTCGATGACACGGTTGCGGCGTACTGGTCTGCGTCTTTCTCCTCCAAGGGCGGATATTATATTCTCACCTACCGTGGCCCGGACGTTCCTTACCAGGAACTATACTCTATTGATTCCCCCAAGCCCCTCCGGGTAATCACCAGCAATGAGGAAATAGTGAACAAGCTCAAGGAATACAAACTGCCCAAGATCACATTTTTCGACATCCCCATTGAATCCGGTGATACCCTGGCTGTCATGCAACGCCTTCCAGCGAACTTTGACCCAAGGAAGAAATATCCAGTCCTCTTCACCCCATATGGTGGACCGGGGGCCCAGGAGGTCAGCAAAGCGTGGAAAGCGCTTAACTGGAAAGCCTACATCGCATCCGACCCAGAGCTAGAATTCATCACCTGGACCGTCGACAATCGCGGCACGGGTTTCAAGGGCCGCAAATTCCGCGCCACCGTGGCCAAGCAACTCGGGCTGCTCGAAGCCGAGGACCAAATCGCTGCGGCCAGGTCCCTGGGCAAGAAATGCTTCGTCGACAAGGACCGCATGGGCATCTGGGGCTGGAGCTACGGCGGCTACCTCTCATCCAAGGTGCTCGAGACAGACAGCGGCATCTTCTCCTTCGGGATGATCACCGCCCCCGTCTCCGACTTCCGCCTCTACGACAGCATGTACACCGAGCGCTACATGAAGACCTATGAGCAAAACGAGGCGGGCTACAACGCCACCGCCGTGCGCAAGCCCGAGGGCTTCAAGAATGTCGCGGGCAGTTTCCTCGTGCAGCACGGCACGGGCGATGATAACGTGCACTTCCAGCACGCGGCGGCGCTGATTGATCTGCTGATGGGTGCCGGGGTGCCACCGCAGAAGATGGCGACGCAGTGGTTCACGGATTCTGACCATAGTATCCGGTATAATGGTGGTTCTGAGTTTTTGTATAAGCAGCTTACGCGCATGCTGTATAAGGAGAAGACCAGGGATGTGACGAAGGGGCCTGAAGGACATCAGTGGAGCCGAAGAGGTCGTGAGGGGCCGAGCGTTTAAAGTCCATAAACGAATGTTTATTATTGTTCGTACGTGTTGTAAATAAAGAGGGGTGTATTTGGAGGTTTTTATGAGATGGGTGGCTTGGTGTTGGATACGAAGTCATATATTCTCTCTTTTTATTATTATTACTTACTTACTATTTCTTTCATGGAAAGCCGTACTCTTCTCTGACCAATGAATATTGAACACCATATACGGAGTATTGATAGATTGAACACGTATTCCGCACAGTTCTCTCCTTCTTTAAGTCAGTAAGAAAGCACCAATTAAAACTATCATCATTATCACTCCATAGACATTGTGGTACATGTACCCTTGCAAAGCACGAAGCTCAGGAACCCGGGTCTCTCTATCTATCTCTCTAACCGAGTGTATCTATCTATCTATATGTATGCACGTTTATGTATACAGCGATCTCTATATCAAAACGCATGTGCAAGAATCAAGCAATGACACGAACACGAACGGCGAAAGTAAAGAGACACAGGGGCGTGGGACTGCTGAGCAATGACATAGACAGGCCCAGGTGCACACTGTTGGGGACCACCAACGCCTCCCCAAGGGGATATATACCGGGGAATAAAAAAATATATGAAAGAAATATGGATATGAAAGTTACTTGTTGGTCCCGCTCAAGAGCAAAAGAAGAAAGAACCCCCCCCCCCCCAAAAGGGGAAAAAAAAAGAAAGTTAGTAAGAACTAACTATACAACACTCATTCCATATCAATAGCCGACTGCTCGCCCCAACCATCAACCGCGAACACTGATGCCCCAGTCGCAGGAAGAGAGAGGGGAGGGAAATGCGTTCCTCCTTTGGCTCGATAATCGATTTTAAAGCTCGATCCATCACGTCCCCCAAAGCCCCATCACCCCATCCACATCCACACCCTCCGCCTCCGCCCCAAACACATTCCCCCAATACCTCTGCACCCGCTCGCAGATACCCTCCTTCCCTTCCCACGAGCGAAACTTGCCCTTCAGCTCGCAGGCCACCCACAGGATCTCCTCCCAGTATGCGCGCTCGACATCATAGCCGAAGCGGGCGAGGGTGTCGCGCGACACGACCCAGGCGCGTCCGTCGCTGCCGTCGGGGCGGTAGGTCGGTTTTGTCTCGTGGGCTAAGTCGAAGACGGTGGCTGGGTTGAATTTGGGGAAGTTGGCGTGGATGAAGGAGACGCGGGGTGAGGTTTTGTTGTTGTTGCTATGGTGGTTGTGGTTGTTATTATTATGATTATTATTGTTTTTCTTGTGGGAGTTTGTGAGGGTGAGTTGGTAATTGCGATATTCGTCAGAAGGGTCGAATTGGACCATTGCGGAACCGGCGATGTCAGTGCCATCTTTTCTCTTTACATGTCCAATTGCCGTGACGGCTTCGCTGGTGGCGTAGAAGGGTTCGCCCGCTGCAGAGGCGGCCTGGAGGAATGTCTCCTTGTCACCTTCACCTGGCGCACCTTGTGAGAGAAGCGGGAAGTAATGGGAGGGTCCGTAATAGTTGTAGTAGGCAGCGAGAAGGAGGGTTATTGGGTGTGTCTTCTTGGATAGGAGGATTTGGCCCGTTTCTGACGAGGCACGTAGCCCCACGGAAGGGATTGGTTGTTGTGATATGTTGTAGTATAGGGGGGACACGGTGGAGATCCAGAAATCGGGCCAGGTGACCATTCCGGTCAGTTTGAAAGGGTTTAAGTCGAGGTGTTCTTCCGGTTTGCGTAAAGGAAAACAGTCTGCGTCTAACCAGACGATTTCTTCGAAGGAGGAGAAGAGCATAGCGAAGATTTTGAGCTGGTAGTGGGCTATCTCGACCAGAGGTTTTTGGTCGCCAGTGTCATTAGCCGAGTCGCCATCGTCGCCTGTGCGTACTGGAGAAGCGCTTAGAATATCGGAAAGGACAACGCAGCGGCCGTTCAGGGAGGGGATGACGTCGTCGCAAATGCTGCTCTCATATTCGGCACGGTCTTTGAGGAAGAGTTCGACGGGGAGATTTGAACCAGTACGGCGTAACATGCGCAACGAGGATATGAAAACGGGCAGATACTTCCCCCCCGCTGTAGATACCACTCCGCGACTTTTCGGAATAACCACGGGCTTCAAATTGGGGGACGCTATAACCTGCTGAAGGAACCGTGTATGCGCCTGTTGCATCTTCAGTACATCTCCCTCCGGCATGGAGATCAGGGAAGGACGTGGTGGCGGCTGGGCGGCGTTGAACCCGACCGCATCCGCCTGGCGATCTCGACGTGGGGGCGGGCAATCCGGCGCATTTTGGCGGAGGATCGGCAGAAGGGCATGCCAAAATTCGATCTGGCGGGCCTGGAGGGAACGGGTTTCGAGGGCAGAGGGCAGAATGTATATCCTGGCATCCGATGATCTTCTGAGCGCGTGAATGGAGAGGTATGTGAGAAGCAGGAGGCAGAACGCGGCTAGCGCTCTGAGAGGCCTGGCCATAATTGTTTAATTAACTTGTTTCGTTTCCCCCACGTCCTTTGACGCAGGAGAATCGCAGAAGAGTCCAGGGACTGACTGCCAATCGGACAAGGGGCAGATGACGGCGAATGGAGTGAGATGGACAGACGCGGGCCGCATGGGTGGTATGTTATGGAGTTAATCGAAGCAGGTTTGGGGATGGCTGGAGGCTGGGGCCATAACTACCGCTTGGCCGCTAGCAATGGACCTGGGCAGGCAGTTGAAGCTGGAGCACGCAGACAGAGATGATTAGCTCAGATAAAGCAATACAATAATGAATATTAATAGGTTAATGGTAGTGGTAGTGGTAGTGGTCTCTTCTGCAAACGAGTAGATGAAGCCACATCCGCAGAGCCTGCACTGACTGGATTGACTGGATTGACTGGGACGTGCCTTTGATTTAGATGATGCTAGGGGCTAAAAAAGAAAAAAGACGGAAAAAATAGTGTAAATTCAATCGTGGCGCGAGTTAAATAACTCACTAACTAGCTGGAGGATCTTCTTGATATTGTTCCTCAACAATAATAGACACAGTTTGCATGTTTTCCCACGTTGAGGCTTTTGGAGGCTCGCATGCAGAGAGTATAAATCTCCGACCTCTCCCACGGTTTGTTCGACAGATTGATCTTATCCTGATGGCGCTCGCATTTCCTCATCTGTGTCTGAATAAAACGACACATCCCGTTCTTCGTTCCTAGTCCCTAGTTACCTGGTGGCCGTCGATCTTGTGTTACGAGACTAGCCTAGTAGTTAACTTGGAGTCGCTCTTATCCCTCCATCATTCCACACAAATGCACTCCAATCCATCGTTGCTATGATTGATTAACTATGATTGCTGTGTTCGGCCGGCTGCTTCCCGGCTACTACGATGGCTCATTTCCAGCTGGCTGCCAACAACAGACCTTGCTACAGACACCGCACACTGTGCGAGAGGTTGGTGCAACTAACGCCGACCATTCTAAGTTAACTTAACACCGGGCTACTGCACGTTTTCTCACCCGCGAACGATGCTGTTCATCCTGTGGGAGTCTGAGAATCCCTCCAGTGTCCAACATGTGCATCGCCCTAGCCACCCTAGCCAGGGCATATCCATGCCCGAATGCCGGCGAAGACCCAGTTCAGCATCCAGGATCTACGTTTCGTCCGGCTTGGGGGGCTTTTGGGTTGGCCACGGGCCACGTCGCCTCCTCAATGGGCCCTCATTGAAACCCCAAAATTTGTGGTCGTCGGCGACTCAGTGAGTTTGGAAGAGAGAATAAAAAAAACTTTAACATAACTACGTCTCGGGCTTTATTACTCTGTATTCTCCAGTTCGTTCCCCGTTCGCTCGTCGATGGTGGCCGGACCCACCCTGGTCACCGCTCTGCGCTCGTGTGGCGGCCCAGTGAGGGAAGGGGAGGGGGCGCGCGGGGAGCCGGGGAGGTTCAACCTTCGTCTGTTGGTGTTTGTTCTTATATATAAAGGGCGCCTGTTAAGCGGCTGTGGGAGGTGCATAATGCGTCATTCAATTAATTAATCTCCTCTTTTCAATAAATAAAAGGGAGGCATCTTCTTCCGTCCCATATATTCTTGCATTCTAAATTCGACTTTCCTACTCCCCTCTAGCTTGCTAGCTATATACGAATATAGAGGATGTCGCTTGGCTCAATGACAATGGGTCCAGACGTCGAGGCAACCGGTGGTGAACATGCGTTTCTCATGAACGAGACAGTCCATTCCTTTGCTTGGAAAGGCGTGGCTGTCACAGTTAAGGACCGCGAAACAAAGAAACAAAAGGCTATCCTTGAAAACTCGAACGGCCATGTCAACCCAGGTGTGTATTACTAACATAAATTTCTCATATCACTGCTCATTTAGTTACTCCGTGGATAATGCTCTCTAACTCAAATCGTAGGAGAGGTCATGGTCCTAATGGGCCCTTCGGGTAGTGGGAAAACTACCTTATTGAACGTACTCGCCCATCGTCAGTCTGCCCCCGGTGCTGAAATAGAGGGAGACATTCTCGTCAATGGACAAAATATCGACCTCGAGATATTTAGGAACATCAGTTCCTACGTCGAGCAGGAAGATGTTCTGGTGGGAGCCTTGACAGTGGAGGAGACACTATATTTTGCCGCTCAGCTCTCCCTTCCCAGGTGAGCCGGTTATTGCACCTCCATCCTCAATTGGAACCATATTCTAACTCCAACTTGCAGCTCCATCCCTAAAAAACAACGCTTGCAACGTATTTCCACTCTCCTCAATTCATTCGGAATACAAAACCAGGCCAAAACCTTGATTGGGACCCCGATTCGCAAAGGCATCAGCGGCGGCCAGAAACGCCGTGTGAGCGTGGCTAGCCAGCTGATTACATGCCCTAAAATAATATTCCTTGATGAACCGACTAGCGGCCTGGACTCCACAGCCAGTTTTGAAGTGATGTCTTTTGTAAAGAAACTTGCGCAGAATAATAAAGTGAGCTTATTCCCCAGGGCCTGGACGCTTGTGACATTTACGTTACTGACAACAACTGCTGCTAAGCTCATCGTGATCGCGAGCGTTCACCAACCGTCTACTGCAACCTTTGAGACCTTTGACAAGCTCATGATTCTATCCGCAGGCCGCACCTGTTACTTTGGACCCAGCTCCGAAATGAAACCCTACCTCGACAGGACTGGATATCGCATGCCGCTCCAGATGAACCCCGCAGAATTCGTCCTCGACCTAGTCAACACCGATTTCGCAAGCGACCAGGAATTCGCGGACGAGCAACTCTCCAAGATTTTCACTAATTGGGAAAATTCAGACGAGGCCTCGGCGCTTGATGCGGAGGTTGAAAAGGTCGCAAGCCAAGCTGAGAAGCATGAGATTTGCGCCTCATCCGTAAGAGGTGCCAGCGCCGTTGGTACCGTCTTTACTCTACTCCATAGGTCCTTTGTTAAGAGTTATCGCGATGTATTCGCATATGGCGTTCGAATCATCATGTATCTCGGTACGTTATTCCCCTTGACATGTCCCTTTTTTCGCAGAACAGCCGGGTTCAAGTACTAACACAGTCCAGGGTTGGCGATTCTGGTCGGCACGGTCTGGCTCCGGCTGGGTTCCGGCCAAGAAAATATCCAGCCGTTTATCAACGCAGTGGTAAGTAGAATACCCACACGCGTCTATAGAATCTCCCGATCGGGTTGCATGATACTAACGAACCCCCCTCTCCGTCATAGTTCTTCTCATCTGCATTTATATCCTTCATGGCCGTCGCTTACGTCCCTGCATTCCTCGAGGACCGCGCGATTTTTATCAAAGAAAGGGCCAATGGATTATACGGACCCTTATCATTCGTCATCTCCAATTTCATAATTGGCATTCCATTCCTATGTAAGTAAACCTGGATACATCCTTCGCACAAAAACAAAAGACAATTCCAATTCCCAACCAGCTCACTAACCCTAACCACACAACAAAAAACAGTCGTCATAACAATCCTCTTCGCCGTCGTCTCCTTCTGGCTCGTAAACTACCACAACACCGCAACAGGCTTCTTCACCTTCGTCATGTGGCTCTTCCTCGACCTCCTCGCCGCCGAATCCCTCGTCGTCCTCATCTCCTCCCTCTTCCCCAACTTCGTCATCTCCCTCGCCCTAACTGCCTTCGCCAACGGCGTCTGGATGTGCGTTGGCGGCTTCATGGTCTCTCCTACCGTCCTCAACGTCTTCTGGCGCTACGTCTTTCACTACATCGACTACCAGGCCTACGTCTTCCAGGGCCTGATGGTTAACGAGTTTGCCGACAGGACTTTTGATTGTGGGGCCAATTGCCAGTGTATGTATGCCAGCGAGCTGGCGTCTGAGTGTAAGATCGCTGGGACAGGGGTGCTGAGTGCTTATGGGTATGCGACGGGGAGGACTGGGAAGTGGGTGGGCATTCTACTGGCTATCACCGCGGTCTACAGATTCTTTGGATGGGGCGTTTTGTACCTGAGAAAGAGGTAGCGAGCGTTAGGAGCAGACGTCAAAGCCTGGATTTGTTCAATCGGTTTGCTTCAACACCTGCTATACACGATAGCATCTTGAAAGCTATTGATGTTTTGCATGTATATATTGTAGCGTGATTATTAGCTATTTTTGCTTTGGTCCTCTTGTTTTGCGCTTGTGTTTTGAAAACCTCTGAATAGGTTTTAAAATAGTCATACATCGGGATACTAATAGAATAATTGTAATATAAATATACATCTTCCCCGCTTCTTGGATTGGTCAACAAAAGTTAACAAACATCCCATCTATACCCCCATGCACTTTTCAGCATATAATACTCTTCTAAAGCTAGCTATGGTTACATCTGCTCCCTTCGTGCATCCCTGCTACACAACATATCATATAATCGAGCGGCAGCAGAACAACAGAGTTAGGCAACGTTGTGCAGAGAGAAAAAGTACCCGTCTTAAATGAACTGTTCAACGTGTTTGTTCTTTATTTTGGTTCCCGTCCTGCAAAGCATTAATAAAAGCATAAAAGATTAAGCATAAAGGTTATAAATGACCCCTGCTAGTTCCTTAGTTAGTTCCTTTTAACTTTAAAATACAATGAGTCCTCAGCATCTTATTAACGCCCATATATACGCAGTACAGTTATTAGACTTCAAATACCAATATCCCTACCATTCATTATTAATCTGAAACCAAAATGTCCCCCCCAATCCAATCCCATTCCCAGTCCTCCCCCCCTCTTCTTCTTTCCTTCCCTCCTCTTACAGCGTACACAATGTACACTTTTTCCCATACGATCTAAAACCTTTGTATCAGTCTCCGCAAGTCGCTCAACCCGACAAACATTCAAATAATAACTACTCAACGTGGCTCTTAATTCCCATCACCTGCACTGGCCATGGTCCATGGCACAGACAAAGACACACACACAAACACACACACATACATACTCTCTCCCATTCCACATATCGGGCGGCAACAATAATAATATAAAACATCAAAAGATTCACCTCGGCCCCACCAAAATTGATCGGGCTCCAGTGTGGAGCCCTTGTATTTAACTTTTTCAGGCGCTCTTCCAAGTTTTAGGCAAATACAAACATATACAAAAACAAAATATAAAAAATAAAATAAAATAATTTGCCGCTATTTTAGATGGAATTATAATAATAATAATAATAATAATCCAGCTCAAGAATTTTGAATTAGCACAGATTGCTGACGGAAATGCGAGTACGCTGGCGACTGGCGTCAGTGGCGTGTAATTGGCGCCGGCAAGGTATGACGTCAGAGGCCGATGCTGGTTAGTCAACTGGCTGTGGGCTGGAACGTCGGGAGGGCGTTGGTTTAGAAATTATAATTAAAATAATAACTATGCTGTTGTGTTTTTTTTTTTTTTTTTTTTTTGTTCTCTTGTGTGTGTCTCGGGCTTTTGAAAATAAGAGCAGCAGCAGTAGTTACATTGATAGTTAACGTTTTTCGATGAAAAATTTACTGTGGAAAAACTTGTTGGTTGAACAGTGGATAAATAAATGCTAATTTAAATAATACCTGCACGCCTGTAATCTGTAGCTCATCCCATAATCCTGGGTGTAGATTGGTTGGTGGGAGTTTCTGGGATTTTTTTTAGGAGCACAAAGTACTCCGTACATACTTCTGATTTGCCATGTTCCCGCCAACATGGGATTATGCAGGGCATGCAGAAGTGCAGGTGCATTTTGTGGGTTGTGACTGCGATGAGTTGTATGCTTAATTGAACGCAGAGTGTAACTGATTAGTTAGACAAAATATAAATAAAACAAAGGCTCAATGCAGCCCGAAAGCGACTCTCTCCTGCTATCAGTGTACGCCGGATGTAATTTGCCGTGATATCCCCTTCCGTCCCAATCAATGAAGCCACTCTCTATCAAACACCACTACCGTCCACTATGTATTCAGAAGAAGGTTCATATTTATAATAACCGAAATACACTGAAAAAAAAAAAAAAGAAAACGGGAATTGAGGATCCAAGGGGATTTGTGTGCTTTTTTTCTGTTTCGTGTTAAATTTGGAAAAAAAAAAAATGAGAGAAGGGGGGGGAGGAAAAGAAAAGGAAAGAAGAGGGAAAAAAAAGAAAAGAAAAGAAAAAAGCAAGAAAGAAATACATCTCAGGCTACATATTCGGGTTCATGGTAATATCTCCCAACCACATATCACTATACAGCAACACATTAACGTCTGGGCCCGGATCTTCCAAAGTCGCTTGAGTAGGTGGCAAGAGACCAATCTCCAACACCTCTCGTGCCAACATTTTGATATGCCACATAACCTGATGCGCCAGCGCCCATGTGCGGTCCAGTGCTTTCAGTTCTCCAACGATCAACGCTATGCGGTCCCTGCGGGGCTCGATCGAGTGCCCGACATTGACGGAGCAGGCGCAGAGTTCAACGACTGCGCCAAGGACAAGGCCGCAGATAAAAAAGGGAGTGTGCTTGAGGAGAGGGGTGCGGATGGAGCCCAGGGCAACGATCCCGTTCCCAGCCTCGAGCGCTTTGGAGGCGTGCGTGAGTGTGTGGGAAGTGGGCGGCAGGTAGGTTCCCCTGCGCGCACAGGCAATGGTGGCATTAGCGGTAGGGGAGGCCATTAGACACGATCGTGGCAGGTGGAGATATATTGAGGCACAGTGGACCAGCATGTAGGCGCGGAACAATACCTGGTCGACGGTTCCGTCAATGCATAGAGCGTTGGGCCTGTCCTCTGGTGCATGGCGGAACCAGCTACCGATATTTGCTTCGAGAGCTTCAACTTGGTCACGTACGTCTTCGTCGTCAAGTGTGACACCGAGGGCTATTCCCCGCTTCAACAGGTGAGTTGCTTCGACTGCATAGCAGAAAGACGAGTATTTAGGTGAGTGATCGGCAAATACACGGTTATAGAATTGGGTGGTTGACGGTGGCTCAACGAGGCTGATGCCGGTGCAGTAACTAGCCTCCTCGCTGGGAAGATGTACGTCCATGGTCAAGTTTCCAATCTTCAAGGGACAGTGATCAAATGCCCCAAACATGACATCGGTCATGTAGATTTCCCACCAAGTTCGCCTTATGCTCTCTTCACGAACAAAGTTACCGCCTGCGAGAACTTCAACCATGGATTTCCGGTGCATGCCCAGTTCAACGGCTAAGTTAACCGCAATGGAGAAGTAAGAGATGGCCTCTTCGCGATCGTTTCGCGCGTGGAGAATCGTTGAAAAGAGAAGGAGAGCTTGGACTTTCTGATAGGACGGTTCCCGATCATTCTCAATCGCTTTGGCTGTGGAAATTTTGTAGGCATCGGTAGACACTCCGAAAGCAAAATGAGCGCCAACGAATTTCATAACTGTCTTCAAACATGCTGGAAACGGGGAAATGAAATGCAGCAAGTGGGTAGGGGGCATTATTGGATGAGATTCGTGGAAAAAGGCGTAGTAAAAGTCAACCAGTCGCGCATCACTGTCATCGGTATACATCGGGTCACCAACTTTTGAGATGAGGTTGTTACGACGTAGAATCCCTTGATCTAGCAATGCTAGAGGCGATGTATCCAAGGACTCTGTGGAGGAGCTAGCGTTCATGATCGAAGGATCTTGAGCTGCCCATTCTGGCGTCTGCATCACATTGTTGAAATCGAAGTTGTTTGGCGACTTGGACTGATTGTCAGACGGTACAGATGAGCCAGATGGAGAACTTATACTAGTCCTTGCGGCTATAGTTGGCTTAGGTGTCGACCTGTAGCCACGGCGAGACGGGGTGTATTCGCATAAGGTGCGCGTTTTCCGGCATCGGCTGCAGACCGGATGTAGGCCGTCGCACTTGAGATGTTTCTTCCGACAAGCACGACATGCGAGCGGGACAGGCGAGGAAGCCTGAGTCGTTGTTCTCTGCGTCGTTCCTGTTGTCGCTTTCTGCATTGTATGCAGTTCGAGGAGGAAAAAAATAAAAATAAAAATAAATAAATAAAAAATAAGGACAAAGAAAATGTATATATATGTTAATAATGTGAATATAATATGAAATGGAGCAACACAGTCTCACATGGAATCAGGGGAAATGCATTTTGAAGGATGTTTTCGAGCTTTCTGTGAGCATCAAGGAGATATATAAATGAATTCTTGGTAAGCCATCAAGAGTAAAAATGTGGGGTGTGAATCCACCCGTTCCGTCGGTATCGATTCCCAACTTCCTGGTGTTGGGATGTCGATTGTTCCAAAATTCAGTTACTGAACAATCTGTGCCTTCAACTATTGTTCTCTTCGCGCCGTGACGTCGCGGCTCCATTCATCGGCTCAGTCACGTGGCCCGGATCCAAAATTTTGTTCCGCCGTTCGCCTCAAGAATCTGCGAGACTTGGACCGCAGAGCCAAAAACTTGGGAGAGCGAGGCGCCTGGAGTTAGTTAGGGTCGTCGTTTGTTTTAGGGTCCGGAAGGATATCCGATATCCTAGGCTCTGTGCGAAGATGCATCTTGCCCGAGATAGCCAGGCCACAGTGCATCCTCATTCTCTCACACGTCAAGAGCTAAAGGTCTGAGTATGAACAGCCTCACTCATATTTCAGTTATAATCCCGCCCTTTTTCCTGTTCTACACGTTCTGTTTTTCTAGTTTTTTTCTTTTCTTTTTTTTTTTTTCCCTTCTCCTCCTACTCCAGCCTTTCTAGTTCAAGGAACAAAGTGGAGATGTTTTCATCACCAGAGAATTTCAATGGCCCCACCGCCGAGGTAATCATATACGTCTAGCCAAGCCGCGAAACGCCCAAGGTCCTCCGCAATAATAATCCCGAGGGAGACCTAAAAGTACGTTTTCCTTCCCGCACCTGGGGCTGTGGGGTAAAGCGGGTGTACCATGTATGTGTGTACATGTACATACATACATGTAGAGACAATATCTTCCTTCTCCCGGGGGCTTGGGCTTTGGGACATAGTGAAACATAGTTCAACCGCAGTCTAAGCAGTGAACAATGCGGAAGACTCAGGGTCTGCAGCGCACAAGCCCCTTTGAATATTCCCGGGAACAGAGATGCATATAACCCGCAGTATCATATGTCCCAACAACCGGGAGACACACATTGGGAACTGCAGCTGAAGGGGATTTTCACCCAAGTACGTGGAATCCTGATGCAGTGATACGCTCGCTATCCGAAGCCATAGTGAAAGCCACACAGCCATACTCTGGGGCAAGCCATCATCCGCAAATTCTAGATTGTTAAGTGCTTCGATGTCAGTTTTCAACTATCTCTCCGAGCTCTTTTCCAATTTTGAGTCAACTGGATCCTATTGTTCCTTGTCCAGATCCTATTATTGAGCGACGTATGCCATTTCTCCCGTAAAGGTGCCTTCCCCTGTTTTCGCTGTTGGGCTCGGAAAAATGTAAATTGAATGAAAGAGCTCAATTTCGCTTCGTGCAATAAGTCGCCCGGTAGTCCAACCAAATTCGCCATAAGACAATAATATAGATTATGTTCCTTATTGTCTCGTAGATTTTGCCTTGAATAATAGCATCCCACAAGATTCGCGAATTTGATTGGTCGAGCGGCTACGGAGGGATAGCTGCTTTATTATTGCGCCAACCACATTGCTCAAGGAACCAGCGTGTAATCAGTGTCAACTTCCAAGGTTCCTAGGTCGTTGAAGTTTAGAAGACACGGTTACGGAAGGTTAGCGGGCAAACTCATACAACATGCTCAAGCCCGTTGATGTTGTATTGCGTATTGATGCCTCGTTCGCAACACATTCGCCAGAATTTCATGTGCAGTTACATGTACTCCGTACTACCAGATTAGACGGCCCTATAAATGAGTTGAGAAACCTGTGCCCCTATACAGTGGTGTTTGTCGTTCTAGACGCAGATGTTTGCTCAATGTTGTCAGTCAGAGATCTTCCCTCGCTACCATTGTGAGCGTGCTGCAAAATCTCCAAAGTTGGGTGGCTCCTATTGCCAGTGTGGGACTCGAAACTTGAGCCTCGCTACAGGATGCTTGGCTCGCGGTCTCTAAGCGTCCTATTCCCTGGCCACTGAAGAGGTTATTCATTTTCGTCGCTAGTTGAGCAATGTATACAGGCGAGTCAACAATCGATATCGGGTTCGCAGGAAAAATAAATTCTCATTGCACAAGGTAGAATTATAGGTTCGGGTAGATCATATTGTCTAACAACATTAGGATTCCATAGTAGAGCCGGCATAGCTTCCCTTTGTTTGCTTGACGCCTGCTGGGTTCAAGTCGTTATCAAAGCGACGGGGTGGGTGCGCGTGAGTATAAAACGAATTGATCCATGAACTGGCCAAGGCTTCAAAGGATCTCTGGACCTTCAAGTTGGGTTGCAAATACCAAGGGGAAGGGCTTACGGATTGCTATGTGACAGGATTAAACGCCAATTGGCGGTGAGATGGGGAAGATTGGGAAATAAAACAGAGAAACAACACCACAGCGTAGAGTTTAGAGATGTAGGACTGCTTCCATTTATCTAGAGAGATGGGTAGAATTTATCGGTCTCAGCGAGGAGTTGGGGTTTCGACCGGGGAGGAGGTTAGATGGAGGTTGGAGGTTGAAGATTGAAGGTTGAAGGTGCGTTGTCGTGTTGTGGATCGGAGCTAAACACGTCTTGAATGAGGACCTTGCGGTTCCCCACATCAGTTATATATATATATATATATAGAGCTCTCCACACCTTCGAGGCTCTGTCATTTTCTCACATTCTCAATTCATCATGATTGCGGACCTCATGCCACTGCTATATATTTCCAAACCTGACATCCAGTAGTCAGTTTAGTTTCTCCAGTAACCAGTCCATATGCAACTACCCTGCAAGGACTTGGATATTTCAAACGTCCAGATTTCCTGGAATCCGTGATGCTGAGTACAGCACCGCCCAAGAACAATACCAAAGACAAGGACATGAGGAAATTACTGCGAATGTGACAAATGGAATGGACTCTTCTGTCTAGAACCCCCGCTGTCATAATAGTACGCTCCAGGCTTCATGCAATTTGCGACTGGGAGCTCAATGCTATCAGACTTTGCTGGTCATAAAACGCGGGTATCGCCCGTGAGGGTATTTTGGGAGAAGGAATAGGAAAGCCGAGCATGATTGATATACCAGTTTTGGATTGTTAGTTTTCATGAAGTTCAACCTTGCAAACTGCATCTCAACGGGTTCGGACATCCTTTGATCTAAGTTATCAGCCATTCTCGCAGCTGACATTTGGTGGGCAATAGGCAATAAGCCTTTTCTAAGATTTCAGTTCACGATATATCCCTCCCACGTTCACTAGGGTTGAACGCCAGGCCCTCCTCCGCCCGTGTTAACCGGAACGTTTTTTTTTTTTTTTTTTTTTTTCATTGTCTACTAACGCTAGCGGCTGCCCCAACACGGTTGCTTCCAGGGTTGGATTTGGAATCACCTTTCGATGGCTCCAGCAGAAAGTCCCAAGCACCCTTAGCGCAGCACAACCCCACATTGAGATATTTCTGGCATCGGTCGGGTATTCTTGGCTTCATTCCAGACGGGAGATTGGAGAGCGGAGAGCGCCTCTGATGCACGGTTAACATCGAATTTGTGGCATTGGCCAGATGGATGTGGTCTGGCATGTCCAGGCACTTCCCGCATCATGTTTAATCTCCAATACCCGTTGCCCGCGGATCGCAGACGATTGCAAGTGTATAGCTGAGTCTAGTCTTTAACCACGCACCCCCTGACTGGATCATATAGAGCTGCAGCAGGTTGACAAATTCTCTGCCAGCTCCCCCGCTATCTTGCCAATGATCTGACGTCAATTGCCGAAACTAAGGAAAAAATATATGATCATAATGGCTGGCTATTTTTACACTCGATCCCACCCACGCATCATAGAAACCTTAGCCAATTAGGGTTATCGTCGTGGTTGCTGGGTTAGAAAAGGTGGGAAAGTTAATGTGATCGAGGGGAGGGTTTCGGTGGTGAGGGGCAGCAGGCAAGGAAGGGCTGAACAAATATAAAAACCCAGCGCCATCCTACCCCTTTTTGCAATTCTCTTTCCATCTTAACACACACGGCCCTTTGACATCCTTTCGATTTCGCAGCTCTTCCAGCCCCAGCTTACATCAAAGCCCGATCTATTTTCACTTGTATCATAGCAAAGTCAACAAACAAAACCACTGCCAAAATGTCGACTTTTAAGGGACGCTGCCACTGTGGCCAGACCGAGTTCACTGTTAAGATGGAGACTCCCAGCCATATTCTTTGGTAATATATCCATCCTCTCAATAGTTCTATAAATCTAGATACTCCGAGCTTTTAGGTAATCCCCTCCCAAAATACCGTGGATGTGGGCTAAGCGCTTTCTACAAATGCAGCCACTGCGACGCTTGCAAAGTCATCAACGGCAGCGACTATACTCTCAATCAGATCGTTCCCAAGGAGGATTTCGAACTCACCAAGGGCACTCTAGGCTCATATACCTACACCGGTGATTCCGGTATGCCTCTTCCAAACTGCGTCTTTTGCCACCAATTCCGCCGTCAGCCCTAGCTTGTCCCGCATCATGCCCCCAAAAAGTATATAGTTAGAGAATTAAACCTTCTGTGAGCTGATAACAAAAAAAACAGGAAACCCTGTCCACTGCTACTTCTGCCCCAACTGCACAACCCACATCTACCACCACCAGACTGTCGCAGGGCCCAAATACGTCATCCGCACTGCCGGACTGGAGGGTTACAAGGATTGGCCAGTGGGTGCAGAGATCTACGCGAAGAACAACATCAAGTGGCAGCCCGCGGTTGCTGATGCCGACAAGGTCTTCCAGCTAACTCCTCCGTCTTAAATCTTGAGAATCACTCACGTAATGAGTTTGTGTGGGAAGGGGGGAGGAAGGGGGGGTCGCGAGGAAAAGACTTGGTATTAGGAAATTGGGGACTATGATGGATGCGTGATTTTGAAATTGACAAAATTTTCGGGACCATTTTGTTTTCTTTTCCAAAATTTGTCCCTTCCTTCCGCGTAATTTAATAGTTTACGCACCTTTGCTCCCTTTTACCGGGGGCTTCCTCCGCTCCATCTTCGTGCTGGAATGGGCTAGTTAGTCGTGATGATCGCAGATCATGATAATCCGAATTTATGAGGGCTTTTGATTTCCAGTATCATCCTTTATACACATTCTCTGTATCCCGGATATCGAACTGAAAAAAAAAAAACTTCCGAAGCCTTCCAAGAGCAATAAATACATTATCCAGTTCGTATATATGAAAGCTAGCGCTGACCCCAATTCCACATCCACATCTACATACCTCCAAAATCCAAAATCCAATCCAAGATGCGTCCCACCTATCCAGAACTAACCGGTGGAATAATCGCAACCTCTTCCCCAGGTCCAATGATCCGAACCTTCTTCTCCTGCTGCTCCCCACCACCAGCACCACCTTCTTCTCCCCCATCCGCCTTCGTCACAGCGCCATCGCCATCACCATTACCATCAGCATGAACATCAACATACTCCAACCCCACACTAACCGCACAGCTAACAAGGACCTTCTCTTTAATACCCGGATACCGCGACTCGAGCAGATCAAAGAGTTTGAACAGCGGGAGCGGCGCGGGGAGGGATTCTGTATGTTTCTTTGTGTAGGCGGAGGCGATGGAGAAGTAGTGGATTTGGAAGGTTTGGGGGCTCATTGTTTGTTGTTCGTTGGGGCTTTTTTTTAATTTTTTTCTTGCGCGTTTCGTCTGCGGGGGATGGTTGGCTATGTGAGTAAGTAAAACTGGTTAATGGAGGGAAATAGCTGAAGTTACTATATATATATTGGGATAGAATAGCGTATACAAACGGACGGCTTTCTCACAATTAAAGGGTGTTGTTGCACATTTCTTGGATCAGTGAGCAAATATACAGACCTCCTCCTGCCTCGCCTTCTCCCCTCTACCTCCAAATATCCAGTTCGCAGTCGAATATTCAATCAGATACCTTAGATCCCGGTCCCAGTTACAGTTCCTGGTTCTTAAGCATCTGCTGTTATCGTCGCGTATTATGGCCGACTGAGAATTAAGAGAGATACCCCCACGTATGGTGAGAACTGACACGTGGGAAAAAAAGCTCTTTCTCCCTCTCTTTTTCTCTGTATGCGTGTGTGAGCGTATGTATATGGGAGTAAATTAAGAGGATACAATCTCAAAAACTCTCGAGGTTGCGATTTGCGGTCTTGATATAGTTATCAGATAACCGGGCGGTTTTGGCGCGGGGTCGGTTTTTGTAGGATGGTTGAAGGTTGTCTTGATAGAGCTATCTACAAAGAGCTTAATATGTGGGATGGTTAATCTGTTGTATTCGGTGGGAACCATACGGGAAGAACGTAGGGTTAATTTACGGTGATTACACCGTGGATCCACCATTCCATCCGTGTCACGTGTCGCCGATTGTAACACATATTCCATCATTATATTGTGGGATGGTTAATCCGTTGTATTCGTGTAGGAAGAGCTAGCTATATATATATTAGAGGGATCCTGCAAGCACCTTTCGCAGTAATGGCCTTTCTTATATAGTTTAATGTCATGTAAATTAACATTCAGTGGTGTTTTTAATTAACATCACTATCACACAGGTGGATCTGTACATGCAATGTTTCCATATGAATTCATACATAGTATGCACATGTAATTAGTGCTGTACAGCCTTTCTTATTCAGTTAGTTATAACAATTGATGCTTCATCATCTGCTGTGAGATAGATATAAATCTCATCAATCTCAATAATCTTCATCTTTTTTTAAAAAGTTAGTCTCATATCTTATATTATTATTATTATTATTATTGTGAGAATGAAAGATACTGAAATATAAGTCAGTAGTAAGACAGATTAATCACTAACTTCATTTAAATCTTTCTCTATTTATATTATCTTTTCTGATTCATATTCACATTCACAATCATCATCATTATTATTATTGTTATTATCAAGCTCTCAATCTTCTTAGCATGAATTTCTATTCTCTAATTATATACTGACTCAGCAGAGTCATTTCCAGGTTACAGAATCTGAAAGATTGAAGTGTATTTGTGGCGGGCTGCGCCTGATCAATCATATAGACTATTCCGTTACACTCCACAGATTCCAACCGCTCCATTCTCGAACGCGTACACTCCGATTCTCGGCCATTCTCAATCACCGATCCTCGGCCGCTACAAACGCGTATAGATTCTCTTGGAGGATAACGTTGTTGTGTTGTAATCTAACTACGCGAGTTACACTAAATAGGTTGGGGTGGCACGTGACTAGGGTAGGTGTAGTAATCACCAACACCCCCCCTTGCTACACCGTGGTCTATAAGCCGCCACCCGGGGCCTCCCTCATTCTCAAATCTTTCAAAAATGCAATAATAATTAATTACATCAATCAGACCCTGATTTCCTCATTAGGAAAGGCGTCTGTACAGCAATAACTGTAAAAATTAAGAAATATATACAAAATTCATTGATCTGCTGTATTATCATTATTATTCAATCATTTCTTCTTCTCAATTTCCTGAATGTCAATTCTTTTGATAAAATCTTCAAATGCAGGCTTCACCAGTGACTTGATAAGGCTGTCAGCTATGTTCACTGTAGAATTAACATGTTTTATCATGATTTTCTCTTTTTCAATTAAATTATGAAGAATATGATATCTAATCTTAATATGATATAATCTTCATATTAAGAATTCTCTCTTTACTAGATCAATTGCTTTCTTATTATCAACTTATAGATGTGAGTATATTTTCACTTTTTTATTATTCATCAACTCAGTATTATATAATATATTATTTAATCAGATTATCTTATAAGCTGTTTTACTAGCTGTAATATATTCAGCTTCTATGATTAATTTAATGATAGATATCTGTCTCTGTAACTATTATGAAATTGATTACTTATTAATCAATATAATATAGTCAGTAGTTAATTTGTATTGAGAATTTACTTCTGTCTAGTCTGAATTACAGTATATTACAGAACTCAGACTCATATCACTGATCTTCTTTCTGTATAATATGTCATGATTTTTCATCTTCTTAATATAATGTAGAACATGCTTTAACACTGCTTAACATGTCTTATACAGATATAAGTTAAAACACAAGAGATAGTTAATCATGAACATCAGATTTAACTGACTGCTTGAGATCAAATATTACAATAATCTCAATTCTTGATAATATTTTATAGCTGTAAAGTTATTATTCAATCTCTTCTTCTTATCAGATGAGAATTTCAGTTGTATACTAACTATTATCAGAGTATCAGCTGAATTTATCTTATTCATGTTAAAATCTTTAAGAATCTTCTTAATATAACAGCTCTGTGTAACTGCTAAATCATCATTTCTCTGATATTTAATCTTTATCTCAAGATATGACTTAGTCTCTTCAATATTCTTTATCTCAAATCTCTTTATAATCTCTCTTAATACTCAGTCTAATTACTGTTCTTGAGATTCTATCATCTGACAATTATTGATATGCAATGTCAGATAGATCTTGTGAACAGAGTGATATAGAAATTTATCATTATAAGATAATATAAATCTCAATGTAGTAAGATGTTTCATTGCTAGAAAATATCATACTCTTACAGCTTGCTTCATTTCATATAGACTCTGACAGAGTAGTCTCATCAAGTTCTCTCTAGTATGCTTAACACCTGTGAATAGTTATATATAGATCATCTCATTCTGTGATAGTATATTATTCAAAAATGCAGATATATAGTTAATTGATTTGATCTTTCTTTCTTTGACAGTTAATATAGTGAATAGACTGTGTGATGTAGACTCTGATATCACTGCAGTATACAATCTTGTATAATGAATACTCTACTATTGTAAGAACTCTCTAATCACTCAGTGAGCTTTAAAGTAGATGATTTCTTTCTTATTATTGAATTTTCAATTATATACTTATTTATCTGTAAGAATATTCATTTCTGAGATCTTCTTAACAATAATATATATCTTCTTCTATTTAAATATCTTAATCTTCTTTTTCATTATCTTATGTTAATAGTTTCAGTCTGAGCTTCTCTTGACATTTATTAGTGTAGTTGATCAGTCTGTCAGAATACTTAGAATAGAATTATTCTTATTAACAGAGTCTTCAGACTCTTTATTCATAATAAGCTATATCTTATTATCTAGAAGATAGATTAAATTAATTACATTCTCTAAGTTCTTATTTACAATTATCTTCAAAACATCTGACTTTTTCTTTATAAGATATTATAGTAAGTAGTACTGTTATCTCTCTCTGATATTCAGAATATTCAATTCATTAGATAATTCATTGAATTCTCTCACTGTATTCACAGGTGTATTTGCACCTATGTCAAGAGCTTTATTAAATATGATATCTCATGCAATCTCAAGACAACATACAATAGAATTTCACACATGATATTAATGTAATTCTTGATATTCAATCAGCTGTTATTTCTTGTCATCAGTTCTATCTGTGAGCTTATTTAACACTTTTAAATTCTTCTTATAAATCTTGCATTCTCATCTCTGTATTCAATGAACAGAAGATTGCATCTCAGTTCAAGCTTTAAAAGATGTAAGTAATGTTTCTTTCTTACATTTAAATATCTTTATTAATATTGAGAATGTGTTGATTATCATGACTGTGACTTGCATTGCCTCATCTCAGAGCTCTTTCATCAGCTTACTATTAAATAGCAAGCTTCTTGTCTTCTCTATAACTATTTAATTCATGTGTTTCACTGAGTCATTTGATTATAATGTATCAGATGTAGTTATTTTATACACTATTTCTTTACTCTGACAGTAAATCTTAAGTTCTTGACTTTTGAACTCTTTTTCATCATCTCAGTATAGAATTTCAATTCAGTGTTGAGTAGTGATCTCAATTTCATCAATAAAGATTATTAAATACACAGTGATCTCATTTTTTGATATTATAAGAATAATTCATCTGTAGTGTGTAGCATTATCTGTAATACTCATTCAATAATTAGCTCTCTCTTGAGTAGAGAGGTTGACTTCATCATATAGTGTACAGCTGTCATCTGCAAGGTTCATGAAGAATCTCATTGCAGGTTTGATAGTTCTTATCATTGATACAAATGTTGAATGTATCATTTTTATCTGTATACAGATCTTACAGAATGACAAAGCTCTGTCACTCTTTATTCTCATTTCTAGTTGAGAATCTACTGTCATTTTTATGATATCTGTGAGATTTAGATGTTCTAGCTTTTAATGTCATTGCATCATTATAAGTTCTATAATCTTTATATCATTTCTTTCAGATAGTGTCAATATTGTGTCATCTTTCATCTGTAATGTGTTCACAGGTTCAAAATCACTATTAAGTATAGCAAACTGAATCAAGTCTCTGTATGTAACTGGCCTTTTCATCTCATAGATATTATTCTTATTTAATCTTGCTGTAAATGAGAACATGCAGTCAGAAGACATAATCAACATAGTATGATTATTTCTATATATTAACTGCTTATAGATATAACTCTGATGTACAAGCTTACTTATACTCATGAGATTCACTTCTAACTTCAGAATATAGCAGATATTATTTAATAGCATATCTGTCTCTTTCACTGAAATCTTTGTATCTTCTATAGCTGTAGCAGAGATCACTGTTTCATCTGTTATTTTCAACATCACTTTTATCTTCTGAGGTTTTGTCATGATAAGATCTCTGTGAGGTGTGACATGAGCGTCTGATTCAGAGTCTAGAATTCAGGTATCTTTTTCTGTCTGATCACTTACATAGATCTTTTCTTTGATGCAAAATACTTGCTTTATAACATTGTGAACAGAAGCAGTATCTGTATTCTCTGCATTCTTGTCTTTATTCTTGTTTCTATTGATGTTGAAATTTGAATTTGAAGAATATTTCTCAGAGTATTTCTTTCAACAGTTAGTGTAACGTGGCGGAACCGAAGCGGTGGCTAGTCAGCGGCGATATATAGAGATAGTTGTTTGAGAAGCTGTATAAGTGAGCTTGACTATCTTGCTTAAATAGTGAGCTTGTAGGCTACAGGGTTATTGCAAGAATATCACAGATATAATACTTAGTATACTAAGAAGATTATATAAGACACACAGTAACTCTCATATATATTTCAGTAGAAGAAAAATGAATTACTGACTTCTTTTATGAGAAGTCAGCATCTAGCTATTTTATATAGATAATGAGTGAATACCTTCTCTTATTTCATAAGTGAGAATAGCTGAAGTGATATCTCAGCAGTGTCTCACTGTCAAGAAAAAGTAATCTGCTGATCTTATATAGAAGCA